TTTGATTACAGATCTGAGCAATGCATTGTTATTTTCATATTTTACAGAATGAATATTTTGCAAAAGAAAAAAGATTTTACTGCATATATTTTAAAAAGTATGGGACAATTCTTTGGAAAATTCCGATCAAAAGTTATTTTAAAGGCAAGTTGCATTTTATACACAGACAAAAGTAATATGTTTGTGTTCTGATAGAGAAACCAGTACTTGATTAATCGTTGAAAGGATGTCTTCATCTAATCCAGTACTTTCCTGTCAGCATCTTATTTAGGATAGAGGTGCAGAATGCTAAAAAGTACAAAATAAGAGATATACCAGACAATTCTCTGTAATAAGAATGCATCTATTTTCACTATATAATAATATATAAAATTACATATAGATTATGAAAAGGTGATGGAGCAACTCATCCTGGAGACCATCTCTAGGCACGTGAAGGATAGGAAGGTGATTAGGAGTTGCCAGCATGGATTCAGCAAGGGGAAGTCATGTTTGATGAACCTGATTGATAGCCCTCTACGATGAGGTGACCACGTGGATGGATGATGGGAGAGCCGTAGATGTTGTCTACCTTAACTTCAGCAAGGCTTTCGACACAGTCTCCCATAACATCCTCATAGGGAATCTCAGGAAGTGTGGACTGGACGAGTGGAGAGTGAGGTGGATTGAGGACTGGCTGAATGGCAGAACCCAGAGGGTGGTGATAAATGGGACCAAGTCTAGCTCGAAGTCTGTGGCTGGTGGTGTCCCGCAGGGGTCAGTACTGGGCCCAGTGCTGTTCAACTTGTTCAACGGTGACTTGGATGAGGGCACAGAGTGCACGCTCAGCAAGTTTGCAGATGATACCAAACTGAGAGGAGTGGTCGATAACTGCCGAGGGCTGTGCTACCATTCAGACAGGATGGAGAGTTGGGCAGAGAACTCATGAGGTTCAACAGGGACAGGTGTCCTGCACCTGTGGAGGAATAACTCCAGACACCAGTGCAGATTAAGGGTTGACCTGCTGGAAAGCAGCTCTATGGAGAGGAATTTGGGAGTCCTGGTTGAGAAGAAGTTAACCATGAGCCAGCAATGTGCCCTCGTGGCCAAGAAGGCCAATGGGGTCAGGAAGAGTGTTGCCAGCAGGTCGAGGGAGGTGATCCTCCCCCTCTACTCACCTCTGGTGCAACCACACCTGGAGTACTGGGTGCAGTTCTGGGCTTCCCAGGACAGGAGGGATGTGGAATTTCTAGAGATGGTCCAGCGGAGAGCCACGAAGATGGTTAAGAGACTGGAGCACATCTATTGAATGAGGAAAGACTAAGCAAGCTGGGGCTGTTCAGCCTGGAGAAGAGAAGATTGAGAGGAGATCTGATCAATATGTATAAATACCTGAGGGGAGAATGTAGGGAGGACAGGGCCAAACTCTTCTCAGTAGTGGCCAGTGACAAGACAAGGGGTAAAAAGTACAAATTAAAACGCAGGAAGTTCCATCTCCGTGTGAGGAAGGACTTCTTTACTGTGAAGGTGACAGAGCCCTGGAATAGGCTGCGCAGAGAGCTTGTGAAACCCCCTTCTTTGGAGATCTTCAAATGTGCTCTAGGTGTCCCCGCTTGAGCAGGGGGATTGGACTGGATGATTTCTATAGGTGCCTTCCAACCCCAACCATTCTGTTATTCTGTGATCTATATCATATGTATATTGGTGACTGATAAACATCAAGTTCGAATTGGTTTTGATTGAAGATGAGGGTTGGGATTTATCTTGTTCTAACACTGTTAGTCTAATGAGTAGTCTAAATGTAAACCCCAGGGTATTACTAGTGCCTAAGATAGGTGGCGTGAGTCTGGAATCTGGAGGTGACTTTCTTCACTGATGGTAGAGAAAGATTAACAACTAGCTTAGGTATTGAAACCCACATGTTAGACCAACAGAAAATCTAACAGAAGTAATTGCAAGTAGACTAGCTTGGCACCGAAATTGGAAGATGGATCACTTGAACTGAAAATCAAAATGTTTTAATTTCACTCTACTGCTGCAAAGCCTTATCTACCTTGGTTTTGGTTGCCTCCAGATCCTGTTGCAATTTATGGTCCTGGCTTCCTACCCCAATTACATCTGTGATTCAGTTATAGGCTCCGTCTTACTGTCTGTTAGTGTGCCCAGCCTGAGGAGGAAAATGGTAGATCATGGATTTTAATATTTCCTTCAGCGAAACACCATACCAGAAACTGAAGATGACAGATGAAACATCTTGGTTATCAACTGTAGCAGTTTCCTTTTTGGTCTAGAGTTGAAACTGACCTTATTTATCACTGGTTTATGTAAAACAGAAGGTTCTGGCTTAGATATTTGGAAATTTGATCTTTAAATTAGGAATTTGAAACAGTCCATTTATACTTGTCCCTGCTGTTTCCTTCCCAGTTCCACTGCATTTACAGCGTGGGCGGAATATTCATTCATGAAGCTGAAACTTGCTGTCTTATTTCAAACACTGTAATGAAGATAAGTTTGCAGTCAGCAGTTGTTTTCTTTCCAAGAATTCTTCTTAATTCTGCATTTTGTAGGTGGTTCCTGCTGCATTAGATATCTTTTTTTTTCTTTAAAAATAGTTATCCAACGTTAAGCAAATAAGATAATTTGAAAGCGTGGATAATTTTTTTTAAAGCTTGTCTAAAGCAGCCTTTCCGTGACCTGACAGTTGGTAACACTGGACCAGTCACCAGTGCACAGCTCCTTCATTCTTAGAGTCAAGAACAGTTGAGAACTTCCATGAGATGCTTGTATGTCTGTTAACCTCAAAAATTAGCCACATAAGGGCCTCCTTTGAGCTAAGGTTCTCTAGGTGCAGGACTGCATTTCTTCCAGATGAGAAAAAGTACTCAGCTGACCCACTGTCAAGTTTAAATCTCTCTCATAAAATACTTCCCAAGGGGAAACATAAATTCTGACTGAACAAGGAATTGGCAGTATATTATACTCATCACACTTGTACTGAGTCAGACCATACCATAGAAAGAAAAGATCTGAAATAATTAGAGCTAAGCTCAGTTACCTGCAGTCTGCATAATATCCTAGCCTAGTGTGAGGCACTAGCATAGGAAAGTTACTCTCATCTGTGGTTAAAATCCATTTCTCCCAGAAAAGTGAACTGCTTTGTGAGGGTTACGACTGTGACCCCAGAAGGCTACGCCCGGCATCAGCTTCCTTGCCTGACAGGTACCAACCCTTGCCAGGATCTTGCCCATAAAAGTGGCTGCTAATGGATTTTTAGAGATTATAGTGACCACTGGATCAAAGACTGCACAATATGCACCTGGGATTGCCTCCAGGCTTCTAGCACACACTGCTTTATAGATTATTGGAGGAACCACCACATCTAATATCCCTTCTGGATTTACCTTCCACTAATTTATCTAGTCTCTCTATTTTTTTTTTCTTCATTTCATTCAGGCTTTTCACCTCTGCATTTCTGGGTAGTAATGAATTCTGCGTGGCTTATGGAAAAGTACTTCTTGTTTTCTGCTTCTTCTAAATTTCCCCATTGGTAATTTCTATGAGTTCCTGCTAGTACTTTTATTATGAGAAGTGGTAAATAAAAACTCCCTGTCCGCCTTCTCTGAGCTATTCTTGATTTATAGACCATTCTGAAATCCTCCTTCTTTTCCCAGTTGAAAATCACATTCTATTTATTCCCAGCTCATACAAATCTAAGCCATTCAAAGTTCTGTATAAGCAGTTGTGATAATTAAGTGGTAAATTAAAGATTCATCAGTGTACAGTCTTAGAAGCACTGAGAATTGATGACTATAGCTGAAGTTACTGGATAATTTTAGCATCTTTAGGCTAAAAATCAGAACCATAGTTTAGCGATACTGATAGATCAATAAAAGTACTTGCAGAGGATTCAGCTATATTTGAGCTGGAGAACAGCAGCCAGTTGCGTGATAGGCATTCTGCAAATCTCTACTACATTCCTATACTGCCAAGTAGTTATTGTCTATGCTGACTAGAATGGATCAGACTTTCTCAATTTATCACTCAAAAAAATCTCTGTACTGTAAATTGAAAGATGATTAGTTTTACACTCCAAGGATCAAAAACAGTGTTGTCTCCATTTCATTCTGGCACAAGAATTTTAGGAGTTAGAGATTTTGAATCCAAAATCGAAGGACTTTGGTCCTGATGGACTGCCAGCTCCTGTACCCCAGGGAGTGAGAATCTGATGAAGGAGAATATTTTTAGGAGCAAAGCTATTCATATGCAAGTCCCAAAGTCTTCAATATTGTGCTCAATCAAGTCTCAAAATGAATACAAGTACCCATTAATTAAGAATTAACATAATTCTGTTTCTTGAGTGTGGTGCTTATTAAAATATAAACTCTATGAACATACACTTGAGATGGAGCTTCAAAATATTTTAAAAGCTTAATTTGAGTCTCCCTTATTTATTTTTTTCAGTAAGAGAGAAGATGGCACTTAACTTTGTGAAACTTTCCACCTCTCAGATAAAGCATCAAAAAGTTGCTATGTTTGCTTAACTCTGTTGATGGGACAAAGTCATTAGTTATTTAGTTCAATATGAAAAGGAGAGACAAGTAATGACATTTTGAAAAGCACTCAAAAGCCACATTTTTGAAGGTGTTCGAACAACTGAAGAATGAAATGAATGTATAAAGGGATTTTCAGACATACATGCCAGTCATTAATAGACATTTCACATTTGAATTTTGAGAAATACTCTTTTTTAGGCATTGAAATGCATTTGGAGGTCAGACATTGTTTGAGCTAATGAGTACAGTAAATTATTTTTTCAAAAATAATTGGAGCCAGGACCTGCAGTCACTCATTTATAGCCTGAGTTCTCACAACGCCTCTTTATTAGCCATGTCACTTGGAAATACTAATTGTCTGCTAGTGACAGAGCACCACAGAAAACATCCTTTCCCCTCATTTGTGTTCCCCTTTGTCCAGCAGATCTGCTCTTTTGATGATTTACTGAACTTCTTTGTGTTTTCCAGAATGCCCAAGCCAGCTACGACTTCAGCAGCAATGATCCTTACCCTTACCCCCGCTATACGGATGACTGGTTTAACAGGCAAGTGGATTTTCCTTGGTTTGATGTTCACTTTAGCTCCCTTGGGAAATTGTGCCTAGTTGCCAATAATTGTGGAATGTCTGTTTTCTGACAAATTCTGCAGTTCTCAGCACTTTCTTTCACTACTACTTGAAAATTAGAGGTTACTTATAACTTCATTTTTTAGATAAATACCTCTAGATAATGCTGAGCAGCTGACTTATGGTTTATGAAATAAGTTGCTGCTTCAGAAATGTATATTTAAGCTTTTTGCATATGATAGTACATTATTTTCTGTCGGCTGTCCTATGAGATTATGACAAACCAACTCAGTATGTATTGAACACAATTAGAACTGATTTTCCTTTTATTGTGTCCCAGTTGGTCCGATCTTTAGTTATTTGGAAAGGAATTAGGCTGGTAGGAGGTATTTTATACAGATAGGAGTCTGACAGGAATAGAATCTGGTAAAAAAAAAAAGTCTTTTCTTTTGATTGTAGAGGCAGAAAGGCAGCATGGTATAGAATGACCAGTTTTAAAACTTTTTTTTTCCTTGTGATTAAGGACAATAGGTAACATTTCAGGGCTGATTCTGAGATGTTTTTAACCCACGAAGTAATTTAAGTCCATGAATAGTGGCTGGGAACCTGTTGCTTGTGGTTGAAAGCTGGAATCAACCGCTCAACAGTGTTTGTTGCTTTTTTCTCCCCGAATGATCATGACTGCTCAGGATCCTGTTCTTCTTCAGTATGTTTTGAACCTAGCCAGTTTTCAGCAGCTGAATATCTGTACCTCAAGGTATGATATAAAAGGGAATAGCCCAGAATAAAAGGTTTCAAATTTTCGGAAATTCCCAAAACTCATTTTGAATGGAACAGAAACATGTATGTATATATATATATTTTTTTTTTCTGTAAAAAACTTTTATTCCCTGGTTCTTAACTGCTCCATCTAGCAAGATGTTAGGAAAGCCCAGGGTGCAAATGTAGCCATCAGGTGTGTTTATTACCTGGGTGATCTCAGCCCAGCATTTCTGGCTCTGAGATGCTCCCCATGGCCTCAAACATGTTTTACCTTAGGCTTTCAAAAGTCAATTCAGGATATTTTCAGTGAGAATTTTCAAACCTGCTTTAAATTGAAATATAATTAATTGAAATATAATTAATGTCAGCATTTACATAGCAGCAGCAGCACTGAGAACTTGAAAACTTTTACAGGCTTTTGGGCTCAGCTATAGCTTATCAAAATACCTGAAGCCTATTTGATGCAGTGTTCATCTCTAACAAATGTCTTTTGAGGGTTTTTTCCCCCTTTTTTTTCTTCTTTTTTAAGAAATCACATTTTAGTTCTGTAAGGGCAGCACTACAAAAATGTGGAGCAGCTCTCTCCACCTTAGACAAGGGCTTCCTGGAATGGATCCAACAGGTTTAGGAGCTGTGATGTCCTCGTTTATAGTTCTGCCATTTTTCAGCCAAAGGAAGATGCCAGGGAGATTTCTCCTTCATACCAGGAAAGTACATCTAACACTTTTAAACTGCTATGAATCCAATTAGTGAATGGAAAGTCAGAGAAAGACTTGGGCTCTGGTTTGTGAAGGCCACTACCTTTTTTGCCTTATTTATGCAAAGGATCTTTGTAGGAGAAAGGTATCACTTAGCTCTGGAGCAGTACAGAGGAAAATTAAATTTAGCTTTAGTGCATAATGCTAAGTTGTGTCTCAGTAAAGATGATTCCGTTGCTTCCAATCATTTTATAAGGAGGTGCAGTTTATGGTCCTCACATGCTCTGCAAGGTGGTCCCAAAGTTACCTCCTGAGGTCTCTTAAAAAGACATTGAGCATTTTGGATGCAGGAAAGATTTTGTCTTCTGGCTCCCAGGTGCCTCTGGTTAACATCAGGCACCCAAGTGAAGAGCAGAGATAAGCAGTGGTCAGATGAAATTTGAGCTATTGAGTTATTGACTTGAACTATCGAGAACAGCACGATACCGGTTTTCAGTGACACTTCCTTCGGTTTCTTTTCTTGAGTTGACAGGGAGTGGTAAAAGTTGAAGCCTTGGTGTCGAATCCTAATTTGGATACCTCAGCACTCAAACATTTGGGAAGGATACTCTGGGCTTTTGGTGATTAGAAATGGCCGTAGTCACAATGAAATGATTGGTCCTCTGTGTTTTATGGTGGACTAGATGATCTCTAGATGTCCCTTCCAACCTCAGCCATTCTGTGACTCTGTTCTGATACTCCAGCTGGAAGAGAAGTAGAGAGGAGGAAAAAATAAATGTAGAAATTGTTTTGTTGATCTCTTTCTTTCTTTTTTTTCAGAAAATGTTACCTAGAATGTTACCTAGAAAGCGTAACATTCTTAGTCATGGACTTTGAGGTTCCTTTGGTGAGATAGGGGATTTTCTGCCTTGCAAGGTAAATGACAGGAGCAGTACATACTTAGAAAAACGTCCCTTCCTGCCTGCACTGCTAGAGGAGGCTTTGAGATGCAAGAATTCACATGTTCTGTAGGCTGGCACAAAGAAAAACACTGTATCAAATTGTTCAGAAAATAGTTTTGACCGTATTTTTCTCTGCTTATTTCTATACTGTACAATTCATCAAGCAGATGCCCAAGGATAACCTATCCTCATAACTTCTGACTCGTGAATTTTTATTGTGAGGTTAAAGTTATGTCTGCAGGAGTCTGTCCATACCTGTGTGTAACTGCACAGGCACATCTGGGCCAAAATAGTTAAATAGGCAAATTATTCAGAGCAAGGGTCCCACTTTGCTCCATCTTCTGGCAGTGATGCATCTGTCATTGAATTTTATGCATACGGGAGGATCAGACACAAAATAGCATATCATAATATCCCCTTTCCTATAAAGTGTATGTTTCTATGTGAGCAATTCGAGAGATTTGTGGAACAAAAAGACTGTCTATAAAGAGATGAACGAGGAGCTTTTCTGAGCTGCCAGCTGTATGTGCTGGCACACGTTCAAAGTGTTATTAGACTTCAAGAAAAAATGGAAAGGTTTTTGCATGCAGTATTACATTAACCACAGCTGCTCTGCTTATAAGCAGAGATTACCCTTCAACTTTGTGCTTTCTAAGAAAAGCACTGCTTTCTACTGCTGCAAGCAGATTGTCCTTTGCATCTAATAACTCCTGGCCTGTGAGGCCAAGCAAGGTGCTTTTGGGAAGGGAATTGGCTGGGCAGCCAGGGGGTTTATACCCGTGCTGATTGAAGTGGCTGCTTCCGCCCCACAACCCGGGGGTCAAGCGAGCATAAAGGGCATGGAATAGGTGCGCCAGGTCCGACACACGGCTCGGCTGTGAAGGGAGAAGAAGGAACCTGAACCAAGCCCAATGCCCAAGAGCAGAAGCTCTGAGTGGCTTTTTCTGTTTTTTTTTTTTTTTTTTTTTTTTTGTGAGGGGAACTGCCTGTAATTTTAACTTCTGCTCCTCCTGAGTTACATCCAGGACCTTGGCACATACCATGCCCAGCAGTCCAGAGGTGCCCATATAAGTCAGGGATAGCTTGGCCTCGCTGTGTGGCTCTGTCATCTTATTGCACTCACGGACAAAGCACCGTGTCCCAGAGCACTGACATAATGAAACTCTGCCATGATATAAATAACCAATAACGATTTCCAATTTAGCAGCCTTTATATTCTGCATATCCTCCCACCCAGATATGAGTTTGCTGGGCAAATATTACTCACTACCTTGGTAATCCGTATTCTTCAGAGTTAAAGATATCCTTTCCTTCTACTTATTATGAGTCCAAATGAGATCCCATTGAGTCAATGAAAGAAAGCTTCCAGTCAGTGGTCATTAACTGTCTAAAATCACCTGCTCCTTTCCTTCTTCCTTCTCATTTTTCAGTCAATACCATGGAAATGGCATAATAATTGATAATACTTATACATGGATTTTTTTTTTAGCTCTTTCTACCTGCTATGTTAATATATGAGACTTAAGGAAGAGCCACAGCACTAGTGCTTGTTTTTTTTTCATGTTTGGATACCAAAAGTGACAAATTCTCCGAAGTAGTTCCCTTGTGCATGCTACACTTTCCCACTATTTGCTGTCAGGAAGTGTAAAGTGCGTAAAAGCCCCACAAATGTCTCTGTGAGTTTTGCATATTTAACTGCTGTCCAGTGCAAGAAACTGAAGATGGACATGTCATCTCAGCTATTGAGAGAGCAGCTCAGAAAAGCTCTCCACTGTGAACATCTAAAGTTCAGAATCCTGTTCCTTGCTGTCTGTAGACGCATGTCAAAGCACATGAAAAGGAAACCCACTGAAAACTGGGGCCACCATCCTTAAAAAATTTAGATAAAGAACACGTACAATAGCATCAGCAGTTGGTTTAGTAAATAGATTTCATTTTCAAAGTCAAAGGACAGGGAACTTTTCTCATTTATTTTCATTAATTATGTTATTTAAATCAGATGAGATCACCTCTCTCACCTTATCTTTTTATGAATATTTATGTAAAATATTGCATCTAGGCAGTGCGTATGGAATAGTTGCTCTATGAACATATACGTTTAGTAGGTTTACAATTAAGCTAGTTTGTTCATAACTGAAAAATAGTTGCTTTCTATGCCCTTATTTTAAGGATTAAAATTATAGTGTGGAGGTGAACGAGTGAGAGAAAAGCTGTTATTTGTGCCTGTGACATAGGTCACTTCCTAGAAACCACAATGCCTTTATCAATGATACATGAACATGAAATAGGCCTAAATTTGAAAAGTCTGCTACTTTCCATTAATAATTCAGCTAAGTGCATTGGCACTGATTCCCACATGTTTTTTCTCTAGTATCTAAACCTTTTGCTGCAGGGACAGGTCTGCTTGCACTGGCCATTGCGTGGCCTTGTGTGCTGGGGGAGAGATTTCCTGACAAAATCTCTTGACAGGTAATGCCCAAATACAGTCTTTCCCCCTGTGAGAAGAGCTCAACTGAGAGTGTCACTGTTTTTTATGACCCAGTGTCAGATAAGACAGTTGTTGTTTTTTAACAAACCACTTACTCTGCTCCGTGGCTCATCGCTAGCCCCAGGTGAGGAGCTAATGAGTGCCTAGCAACGGGGTGATTTCTTCACCGTTCCTTGAGCGTGGGCATGAGGAAAAACCTGCTCAAGGGCTGCAAGAAATTTCTCCAGCAGCTCAATAAGGAATCTGCATCATTGTCCTCTGCCATCCTTGCAGCAGCATCTTGCTTGAGATCTTCACCCCTTCGTGGTGAAGACACTGTACATGTTTAAGACCAGGCATTTCTGTTTTGGAACTGTCTTTAGGCATACACTCTTACGAGCATTGCAGTGAAAAGAATGTCTTGTTTCCTCCTCCTCTGTTAATGCTACGCCCACTTCTGCCAATGGTGCTTAATGGGAGAGAGAAAAAAGATGATTAAAACAAAACGATCCGCTCCCTGCGGGACACTGTGCAGTCTTTATAACACAGCAGGGCTCACTGTGTGAGTTCTTAGTGCTCTAGGAGCAATGCTGCTTTCAATAAACAGCATGGACTAATTTCAGCAATAGGAAAGCTCCGTATTGGTGCCAGATCCCGAACAGGTTTAACTAGTTTCTCTGCTGCTGTGTTATTTTTTTATAACTAGATCATATTGACCGTATTTATCTTTTCTATGGTTTAGTTTTTATTATGAGTTCAGAGAAGGGAAAATGTGCCCTGCCTTGCTGCAGGCAGCCTTAGATCTCCTGCCAGTGTCAGGATCTCTGTGAGGAGCTGTGAAGCACTTCAGAGGTGCCGAGTCCGAGTGTTCTTGAAATATTACATGCCGGCCTCACCATAGACCCCGATGTCAGAGCAGAGACATCTGACAGTGGGAGCACTTAGGCTGAAGTGGCATCCGAGGGAGCTGTCAGCCACAGCTCCTGTCAGGAAGCAGCTCTCCCAGGGGCTAGGCCCTGGATGAGGAGGAGGATGTGTGTGCCAGGGCTCTGGCTCGCTGGGCAGCAGCCTCACTGCCAAGGAGCAGTGACCATCCCTCATGGCTCTCCTGTCGCTGCACCTCGATATCGCGCCTGCCTCCTCCCGCAGTATTTTTAATGTAGGCAGGGATGCGCTCCTGGCATATGTTGGAACAGAAAATTGGACTTTTTGGGGTCTGAAATAATGGGTGTCACACTGCCAAGTGAAAACACCACAGGAATTACATGGACACTGTTTTTATTACACTATTATTCCAAGGAGCTGTTCCTGTTCTCTCATACTTGTTAACAAGGCAGGACCTGCTTGGCAGCCTGAGTAAAAAAAGAAAAGGGCTGAAAAACTTACCATTAAATGAAGCAGAAATATGCGTGTGTGCCTCAGAGCAAGCATGGTTCACACTGCAGAGAGGGGCTTGGCGAGGGGGTGAGCCCATCCGAGTGCAGCCCTCCACAGGATGCCGTGGAGAGGAAATGGTTTCCTTTGGAGAGGACAGGAGGTGACTGCAATGAGGCAAACACACAACCAGGGAGATCCAGCTTGATTCAGCACATGCAGTTCTGCCTAAGCTGAAACTCACGTGGTATCTCTGTCTTCCCCTTTGCAGCCATGGGACAAGGTGTGCAGGAGAGGTATCTGCTGCAGCCAACAACAACATCTGTGGTGTGGGAGTTGCCTACAACTCCAAGGTGGCAGGTACAGTAGCGATCTGAACTGTGCATGCTCTTTGTGCTCAGTTTTTCTTATGTCAGCTCCTATTTGTATATTGATTTTGAGTGCTCCTTGCCTCCATTGTTGCAGAATCATTTGTGACAGATCTCAATATGAGGGAGGAAAAACAGATATTCCTACAGCACTTAGAAATTGTACTTGCAAATCCCATGCTGCTGTTACTCTTTCCACTGCCATCAGGCAGGTCCTGCAGCAGCATAAATCTCCGCAATATTTTTGGTTTCTGGTGTTCTAACAAGGTGGTACAAAATGGTAGAAGGGGGGCAATATAAAGGGTGTGTGCTTCACATTCACATCCCATGTGTGTTGTGTGCTTGGGCTTCAAACCAGCTCCTGCCTGGAGCAGGAGACATGGCCTTACAGAGACATGGCCTTTTAGTGCATTAGGTGTGGCCTTGGGCAACATCTGCCTGCTTAGTTTGATCCCAAAGAAATCCAGGTTTTGCACTATAGAAGTGTTCTGTGATGTGAACCAAGGCACAGTAGATGGAGGTGGATACTTAAGAGATTCACTTCAGAATCATGCCCTGATCCACACTAAAACCCTGGAGTAGAGGCACCTGTTGCTTCCTGGGAATGGTTCACAGTGGATGCGTGTGGGCAGTTCTGCTCTGCTTTGCCAGTGCCTACTTTGGCCATGATGCAAGAAGAAAGGCTCCATTTCATCTATCAGCTGTGCAGAAAACCTGGAGTCTGCATGTCAGCAGGACACCAAGGCGTATTTGCTAAGTGATTACCCCTGACAGCAAGGAACTGACTCTAATGTACAGCTTGGGCACTTGGGTCTAGTTTCTTCTTGGTGTGTTTCTTCAGTAACCTCATGCACTCCTCAGAGGTGGGACATTTCACAACATTTGCGTTCTGGCAATAAGCAGTTTTTAGAGGAACACTTGAGAATTTGGCTGGACCTCATTTCACAATTTTGAGCTGGTTGTTAAAAATTAGGGTAACAAAAAGCCTACAAATACCATACCCTTCTGTACTTGTCCACTTCCTCTCAAAATTCCCCACTGAATTTTGGAAATGCCACAATTTTTGGAATGAGGACAGTGTGCATCTGTAGCACCACCGTGTGGACAGTAGAAAATTATAGTTTGAGCTCAGCGTCTGCTGCTGACATGTTTCAGGGTCCATATTTGCAGGTGGAGTTGGGAAGTTTCCAGCAAGGGATGCGAGGCACTGTGCGTTTTGCCTCTTGTGACTCTTTTCTGCACTAAAGTCAAAACAGATGGCCTGGGTCTACTTATGGTGTCCCCCACCTCCCCATGTTCAATCATTATTTTTGTGGTTTGAGTGCAGACTTGCATTTTTCAAGAATTCATGGGAACTTCTCACTCATTGAGTTTCACGCAGAACTTCTTGGCTCAATTAGCAGATCAGGAATATGCAATATGTCTTTCTATTTAAAATTCATACCAGTCCGTTTGGCAAATGCCCATTTTTCAGCCTCACATTTGGCTCATGGATTTTACAATGATTATAGTAAAAGCACTAGCTTCTAAATCAGGTTCCCCACTTCCATGTCCCCTGTTTTGCTCTTTCATACTTGTTTCTCTAACATCTCTGTCCTGAAGCCATTGGGAAAAGCACTAAACTTCAACTTGGGGCTATAAATGAGGTTTGAAATGTGCACTTTGTTGCTCAGGTCTCATACAAAGGCCACCAAAAGGTTGGCTGTCAGGTGAAACTGGCCTCTCTGTGGGGTATGATGGATGTGAAGGTTTGTGCTGCTCTCTGACACACACCCTGGTTTGCCCTGGTCTGGTGCTCAGAGATCTTACGAAGCTGGCATGTCCTGCGATTGCACCAAAACCCAGCTACATTTCTACTTCAACATGGGTTATAAAAAGCAGGTTTTATTATTTTTCTTCTCCTACAAATACTGGCCCTATTTTGCTATTGTCTTCATGCAGAGACACTGATATTTTTCCAGGAAATTCAGTCAGCTCAGTCTTTTTCCACCTTCTGATTAAATTTTGGAGAAGAACACAGATAAACAGAAAAGTCACTTGAGAGGTGAATTAAGTGTCAGGACATCATGAATACAAGTTAGGAAAGGAAGCTCTAATCTTTATCCCCAGCATATAAAATGCTTTCTCTTTTGGGGGCATACTGCATTGCATTGCTGTGGCTGGATTTTTAGGGGCTGGCATCCTGTTGACAAATGTACCCTGGTGAAATCTGAGTACAGAAGTGCTGAGTGAAACTGTCAGTGAACTAAAATGTTGGTAATCGGTGCAGTTATCCACATGCAGAGAATTCATCTTTTCCTGGTTAATGTATAATTTGTGTTGATTAAATCCACAGGTATCCGAATGCTGGACCAGCCATTTATGACAGATATTATTGAGGCTTCTTCTATCAGTCATATGCCTCAAGTCATAGATATCTATAGTGCTAGCTGGGGACCAACTGACAATGGGAAGACTGTGGATGGACCTAGAGAACTGACGCTGCAAGCGATGGCAGATGGTGTGAACAAGGTAACAATCCTATTAAACAAGCTGAGTAGCAGAGCAGGGTGTTATTTACACCCTTGCCCTGGCGCCCCTTACTGAGGAATCTAGCATTGCTCCAATAGATATGGCAGAACACAACAATTAGGTGATTTTTTTCAACTTTCACAGTATTATTTGCTTTCCCTGCAGATAGTGGTCAAAGCCTGGTACATTGCACTGATGTTTTCTCTGCAGTACCGTGGCTTTGCTGCTGTTGTATGGGCTCAGAGTGCTCTGCTTTTCTGCATGGAACCACATCTATGTCTAGTCATCTCACATGTGCTTTTCACATAGTTTCACAGATTAAAAAGAGCTGTACTGGAGAAAATATTCCTCAGTTCAAAACATGTTTGTCATACTACTACTGATGTAACTTTGTCTGTTTTGATGTGCCATTAGTTTAATTAACCTTCTGGATTAGTAGTATCTTTCGAGTCACTTATATGTGATCATTGTTACAGCTGTGATGGCACCTGCTCAGATATCTATGGAATAATATTATTCCCCTGTAGCAAGTGAACATGTTTTTACCTATTTTCAATATCCCTTCAGATTTTTTTTCCATTAGCAGCCAGCAAGATTTTATGAAAACAGAGGCATTCCTTTAAAATAATTTGGATTTCATAGACTGGCATTTTCTGCCATTTCTGGCCAGTTCACATTCTGCAGTGTGCAAACACATGAGGTCACCAATTGCTCATTTTCCTTATTTCGATTTAAAAAAAGGGATTGATTATTATAACTCTTTAGACCACGTGGGCCAATCCCAGCTGTCAGAACACAAATGATTATGTTTGAGTGACAACATTCTTCAGTGGGAAGCATCTATGAATTGGTTTATAAAGGCCTTTTGGCAGCAGAATGGACAAAATGGATAGAGCATCTGTGCTCAGTTTTGATACCTGCTGAAAGAATCTTCCTGCACAGACCTGATCTGTTTTTTGACCAGTCTGCTTGTCTAGCAGCTAGTGAGTCTTGAGCATGGTCGCTAGGGTAAGGCAAAGACAAATGTGTCCTGAGGAAGCATGTGCTCCTTGGAGAAAACATGATCAGAGGTGGTTTCGGGGAGTAAGGTGTTTCTGAAGGGCAAAGGTGGAAGATGGGGAGAACTTCCATTTGTTGGAGGAGCTGGGGAAAAAAGAAAGCAGTAAAGCTCAGAGGAAGTCGCAAAAGGTTCAGAGTGGGCCTGGAGGGGAAGCACAGTGAATTAAAAAATGTCTGCTTGTCTCTGCTCTTCATATCTGGTGGCCAGGACAACCACATCTGACAAACTATAGCAGGGTTTTCATATTCAAAAGATTCTGGGGTGGTTTTGTGTGGGAGCTCTGCAATTACTCATTTTCCATCCAAATGATTTCTTCTTCTTGCTTGTGCTAGTTTCTCCCACTCTTCATCCCCACCTCCCTGAGAACAGCACATTCAGTTTACCATGTTTTGTGACACAATAATTAAATCTACTGCTTTAGTAGGTGGTAAAATATCTACGGCTTTCTCAAATTCAGAGCCTTAAATGTTTTGCCTATAATAGAAGAATTATAGGCATCCTCGTGCTCTTGCCCATTAATTTGGAAATGTGCTCCCGTAATTAAGGAAATTTTGTCACAAATTTCTAATGTCTGCTGTTTTTTGTAGTAGAAACCAAATGCTGGCCTGGTCAGTTATCTGAATTAAGTTAACACCAGCTGAGTTTCTTCTCGTGCCCTTTTATGCCCTCTGAAAGGGGTATCTGATAAGTACATGGCCAAGAAGTGAGAATCTGTCCATTCTTCGCGTTGCAGACTCTCACTCCCATCTGGTTTATTTCTGCTTATCAGTCCATCATAAAATAAAGCAAATCAATATACAACAAATACAGTATGTGACATAATGGATATGTTTTTTAACAACAACACCTTCATGTTCTGCGGTTAGTGGATATTTGTTTCTGCTTCCAGTAATGTTAGTTGGAGCAGAAGTAAACTCTGAATATTTTTTTAAAAAACATATTCCTTTACATGCAGAACTAGTCTTAAAACTGACAGAAAAGTCACTAACAACTCTGGACACCTTCTCTGTGAATGTTCAACACAGGAGAAGAGATTTTTCCCTCCTGCTCTATTGTCTTCTCATACTGACGAGTATCAGGCATGTTATTTTTTAAGGCCCTCCCTTCAAAAGTGTTTGTATTTTCTTTAAGGGATAAGTTTCAATAATAGGGTCAGAAGAGATCCTGAGATCTCTCAGGTTGAATGCTTGCTAAGGAGATACCATGGTGATGGTGATCCTCCTCTTTGGGCAGGATTGCTGTCATAGTTTTTCAGCCTAAAATGAATAGAAGAGCCTACATTATTCAAAAGGTTCTGTCAAAAAGCCACTGCAGAATTAGGCAGGAGAAGGAATAATGATTCCACCTAAGAAAGCTGGTGTTGCCAGTGAATGTAAATATATAATAGCTGCATCCCAGATACGTTCTGGCATTGGATACAGGAAGGAAGACACAAGCTCCACCCCACGTGCCTCCCTTTGCATTGCAATTACAGCAGTGCAAATCTACGTTTATTATATTAATTCCAATTCCTACCATAGATGTTTTTTGGTGTGTAATTTGTTATGTCTTCTTTTTGTGGAGAACAAGAGTTTCTAAAGGTATTTCAGGATTTCAGGGGTGTATGCTCTTCATGGTGCTTTGGAAATCAGACTTTCCTGTATTTAAAGCAAGTTTAACCAGTCTATGATATAATACCCTTCTATGTATTTTCACCTCTAAGGTCTCTGCTCCAAGTTCTCTATTGAATGTACAAATGCGAATCTAATATATTATTATTTTTCAGAATAATAAAACTCTTATTAAAAAGTCATATCTTTAATAAATGAGAGGCAAAAAAAGTATGAATTCTTTTTCTCAGTCTAGGGCTGACTCTACCAGTGTGATGGTTCATGAATTAGTGATGAAGCTGAAATACTGGCAGGGAGGAAGCAGCATGCTGAGAATAAAAATGTGTTATTAAACTAAAAGAAATGCAAGAGCTCTTGCACAGAATAAGTTTAATATCTTTGCCTCTAATGTAATAAAGATAATTAATTGGGAGTGTTGTGAAGTTCTTATGGCAAATATGCAGTTAACTGAGTTCATAAGCACGGGTAACATTCACCGTGTTACCACTGTAGTGGAGAGCTCAGCTCTGAAAGCAGAAATTCTGTGACCAGAGTTTCCTCCTTCCCCCAGACTCTCATGTTTTTGCACTGTCATGTCCCTTTGAGATCCTCCTCTCCGGATCTGCTAGGGTATCTGGGGTAAGTTCACTCGAATACAGGTAGCGTGGGTATACTTAATGAAAAATTATTAGGCTTAATGAAAAATTATAAGGCTTTAGACCCTTTCCAAGCCACATATATGGTCAGCAGCAGATTATGGGGGAAAAGATGTATATTACTTTACAGCTTTCTGGAACTTTGAATCTAGAATCATAACAGCAATCATCTTAATCAGGAAGATAACTAGCTCAGGAACTAATTCTGGACATGCTCTATGGGTACATCCTGTCTTTGAAAGAATATATAGCAAATGTTTCTTGCTTGCTGTTTTATGTCATCATTCTTTCCAGCTTCAGCTCTTGGAACTTACGGGACTGCAAAGAAGTAATCAAACTAAGCTGGTCTCTATCTATAGCATTTTAGGACATAGGATTTTTTTATTGGTTGGTTGGACTGAATTTATTTCTTGAGAATTTACCAGCTCAACCAGTTACATAACACTTTGTGCATATAGCACGTTCCATTCTTGCCTGTGCTGATACCTCTAACATATCTAACATATCTAATGTTAGATACCTCTAATATCATTTCATTAACAGCCAAGTGAGGATAGAGAAATTATGATAGAGCAATCTTCAGATTACTCGGTTCCAAAGGAAGCCTTACAAGCTCCCTTATAACTTGGGAACCATTTACTACAGTATTGCTGTTGTGTTTATGATCTGCATTATAATTCTGTGTCTTATTTATTTAAGGTAATGCAAACCTTGTTACAAGCATACACAAGGATGCTGTATATATTTGGAATTCTGGAGTTAGCCAGTTTATCCAAAGGGAGATGCTTTCACACATTTATAAAACAGCGTGATGAGCTTTTTTGCCCTGGTGATGAGATACACGACTCCTCTTTTGCTAAGAGTCAGTGTTTGGAGATCAGTCGGTGCCTGCCAGGCTGCCAGACTCATCAGTCGTGCCACATCTCAGCGAATGCATATGTGCCACTAAGAACAGGAGCCGGAGCAGATCCCAAGTGCTGCCAGTTCCTGTTTAGATCCTAGCCTCGGAAATGCTTTGGTGAGTGGGGGACCCCAGCTGTGCTGTTCTAGGCCCATGCTACCCGTGGTTCTGTGACAAGATTAAACGTTGTCCTTTGCAAAGGTTCAAATGCCTGCTCCCTAAAGAGCAAAAAGCTGCTGCACTGTAATAGTTTGCACCAACATGGCAATATTTGTAATTCCCAAATGTATTTTCTTTATTAACATGTATTTTTTTTCTAAAGAGACAAGACAATAGTTTAGCCTCAAAATGTAGATTTTTTTCTGATTCCCTAGGAATGTGTTTGCTTAATGCTCAGCAGCCATGTGCTTTTGCTTCCCAGCAGGGCTACCAGCCAGGTACCTTTGCACAGTGCTACAAGAGCTGTGAAGTTCATCACGCTGTGTGTGCGTGTCCATCACACTGTCTGGGAGCACTGCATAGAAAACACTGTCACTGTCGAACAGCAAATTTGGATGTTTAGAGTCTTTCTGCCAGTGACAGTCTCAGAACTCCTGAAAAGATCCAGAGCCAGTGTCACAAATTACCTTGAGGCACCTCCAGTATACTGTAGGCACACCATACACTAGGCTGCAGATGACTTTTCCAGCCTTTAGCCACAAGTGCTTCCCAGATGTAAAGGGCAAGCTTGAGGAAGCTGGATTTCTTTTTCTTTCTTTTTTTTTTTTTTTTTTTTTGGTCAAATGTAACCTGTTTTTGTTTGGAAAGTGTGCACCAAGGTTCAAAACTTTGGCAAACACTGCTCTGGCACTAGATCAGAACATAATAACAACGAGAAAAGAGTCTGAGAGATGTGCCTAAAATGACGTGAAGTGAGTTAGTCCCTGCCCACTCACTTTTGCAAGAGAGTTCACTGGAAAAGTTTTCCTGCGAGTATGCTCTTCACACAAGTAGAAAACAGATAATGAAGTTTCTCAGGGATATTTTTTGCCAGTAGCACATCCCACAAGAACGCTGGAAATAGAAAACCTTCTGTTTCTGCAAAGAGAGCTTCTCCATAGCTGTCTGTGGATTGTCCAGCATATAGCCTTGACCAACGTTAATTTTAGCCTAGCTTGAAGAGGCAGGCATCTTTTAGGCTGGTGACAAATACACAGAGAATCACCTTCTGCTGTGAGTTACAGCTTCAGATGGCAGAAGTGCGGTCACCCTACTGTGCATCATGTCTTGGGGAAGTGAGCAGGTTTCAACAGAATGCTGGAGGAGATAAGTTCTTAAAATGCATTCACTCCGTTATCTTGCTAGTCTCGTCTCTTCTTTCCAAATCTCCCATTAAGCTTCCTCTGGTATTTCTGGTGTATATTGCTAGAACCTTCTCCAGTCCTATTTTCCCCTTCCCAGAGCAGACAGCAGGTGGCTGCTGGTACCAGGAGTGGGATGGTTGGCATGTAGGAAGTGTCTCTTTTTTCCAGGATGACTGTCATCATCCACCCTTTAAAGTAGCAGGCAGAAATAGTTGACTTCAAGGAAACTGAATTTTCAGTAATTAGCAGAGGAGTAGTAGACAGGAAAAAAGGAAGGTTAATGGGGGGCAAAGGGGAGAGAGGGAAATACATCATGGTTAAAATAAATAAATCTTTTAAAATAAATCTGGAATTATTATGTTCTTAGATTTTTTTTTGCAACAGTATCTTCCTCCCTTAAAACTCTAGTGATGGATTTCAGGTCTTTGTGTGTTTTCTTAGGCTAATTTCAACAAGCTGTTTCGTAGTCATAATCTTTATTATGAAAATCTCTGTCCTGAGATGTTATATACCCCAGTGGCAGCAAACCTTCTGTGCAGCTCACTGGCCTATAATGCAACACAAAAACATGCTTAAAATAATGAGGTTGCTCTGGTCAGTGGGGTATGGTGCAAAACAAGAGCTACTGCTGGGAGCTCAGATTTAAATTCCTGGCAAGAATGGTTACCTACTAGAATACCATTGTAAGGTGCTATGTTTTTATGTTCATTAATGACCATTGCATATTTGACAGTGAGGAGGCCAAAAAAGATTTTTTTTTGTCGTCTTCCCGCCCTTCTGATGCTGTTAGAAGTAAATATTAGATTGCGCTGGACTACACACAGAATCGTGGCTCTGTTGGATTCAGTGGGAGATCTGAGCTTTGGTTTCAGTAGTACTGATTTTTTTCCCTGGACCCAGGCAACTTTTACTTCTTTCTTCATATGGGATGAGAAGGAACAGCTGATTGATCCCTTTGCACTCCTTCCATATCTGGAAGTTAGGGGGAGGTTAGAAATTTCCTTGTTCTAACTAATGGGAAGGACCTAGCTTTTATAGCTGCCCTTCGACTTCAGTCCCACCCTTCTGTAGACTTTTCAGTGTTTAGTGGAGCATCTCTCTGTAGATGATTCATGTGGTCCAAATTCTATTTTCTGCTTGGTAGTAGAGGCTGATTTGTCAGAAAAACAAGTGTAAGTCAGTGGTACCTAGGGAGGAAAATGTATCAAGAGAAAAAGTTTGCCAGTTTTACGGATTTTTTTTAGCCATTGCCTGGACTTAATAGTATCTTAGAAACCCAGTAAGTGATATGAATAATTTCCTCATAGTACTTAGAGCTCAACATAAACACAAATGAATCCATCAAACATCTTTGGTTCTGGCACAGAAGCTTTCAGGGTGTCAAGCAAAACAGGAGCTAAATGGAAACGTTCTGTCTACACGAGGCTACAAAACACTCTGTGGTTGCCAGCTAACTGGATTTAAAAATTCTGCAGAAGCCCATATTGTTTCAGCTGATAGTTGATGCTCATTTTGCTTGGACCAGTTTTCTGCTTTACAGATGGTGATTCTTCTTCATGATTGGATGTGCGGGTTAAACTGGTTATTTGAAATGTAACCCAAGAAGGTTAATTTTCCCCTGTTGCAGGGCCGGGGTGGCAAAGGGAGCATCTATGTCTGGGCCTCTGGAGATGGAGGCAGCTACGATGACTGTAACTGTGACGGTTATGCATCGAGCATGTGGACAATCTCCATCAATTCTGCTATAAATGATGGACGGACAGCTCTGTATGATGAAAGCTGCTCTTCAACCTTGGCCTCCACCTTTAGTAATGGGAGGAAGAGAAATCCAGAGGCCGGCGTGGTGAGTCCAGATATTATTGTGTTGTTGCTGCTGTGTTTGTACACTCCCACGACCTATTACATCTCTGTCTGCTCTAGAGGAGCAGATGGTCCTTTGTTGAGATGGGTATTTTCTCATTTGCAGTACTTGATCATGCCAAAACTGCTACCTGAGGGGATATGGGATTAATATTAAGAATATAAATAAGATATGGGATTAATATTAAGAATAGCAATAATCTTTTATATTTTACACCTTCTTTATCAGAAACTTTTGCTGATTTAAAAGTTCAACCCTCCTTTTTCCAGAGAGCGGGGTGACAAAAGGTCTCTAATACAATCTAAATGAAAAGTGTTGAAATCTGTGCTGACATCAACAGAGGTCATCTGCGTTAGCTGAGATCATACCTAATTGTGCCAGCAAAGCAGCATGAACCAGGCTTTCCCTGTGCTAGAAGTTGAACAGAGCAGAAAAACAGTCATTCACCTACAGAGGAAGAAGGAGGGTTCAGGCTACCCTTGGAGATACAGTTCCCTATTAAGGTCAGCATGGAGGATCATATTCAAGGGTTATTTCTCTACAGGGCCGAACTTACTACTGGACATTATGCACTTTTTTAATACACATATAACTGGAATTCCCTTCCAGTAACCGGTCAGTGCTCTTATGAGTGTTTTCAGACTAGGATATAATCTAATTCACCAAATGAAAAATTCAGGTATAGTAATGCAAGGTCAGCCTTTGACCAAAGCTGCTATACACCTTCTTGAGCCCTGTCTCAAGCAATGACATATTGTAGCATCTTGTGTGCAGAAGCAGATGGAAAAACATTGTTTTCTGCTATATTCTAATATCAGTGTCACCTGTATAATTATCACCATAAAATCAACTGCTAGGGTATGTTTCAGGGCTGTTCAGATGACTACCCTGTATAAAAGATAGGAGATTACTCCTGTTGGTTCTGCAGTTGCACCAATGCTAGAAGTCTCAATATTGTTAAAAAAAAGTAAAAATCATGCTGATAACCACAAGAGAATTTAAGGCCTTTGATTGAACTGTGTTTATAGGAAATAAATGACAGCAGTATGAGTTTAGGAGTTATAAGTATTAATGAACAGTTTTCTTACGTTATAATCCCTTCTTGCATTCCTGACTTCTCTAGCTATGTCATGCTGTCTTTCTCAATATACAAGAAGAAAACAGATTATCAGGATCCTGAGAGCAAATACACAATTATTCCAAAGAGCAAGGGCATAACCTGCACTTTCTGTACTTTTCTGAGTCTGTAGCCCCCAGGAAAATAGACTAGCTGGTTTCATTAATTAACTCTAATATCATTGCAGGCTACGACGGATTTGTATGGCAACTGCACTCTCCGTCACTCAGGAACGTCTGCAGCTGCCCCTGAGGCAGCTGGAGTGTTTGCTTTGGCCCTGGAGGCTAAGTATGTTGTTAAGAAATTATTTGTGAGATCAGGAGAGGGGGCGGGTTTAATGTTGTTGGTCATAAGAGGCAGCTGCCTGGGGCATGGGGGGGCTACAGCAGCTAACAAGTTGCCTGATGCAGCGGTGCCATGCATGGGAGCATACAGGTGGAGCTACAGTCTTGTCAAAAGTATAAGACCTACAAAATCAGCCAGGAGTTCATCCTGTTCGGTGTAGAAAGGAAGGAGAGAGAGTGAGCTTTTACCAAGCAGCTTTGGCAGTCAGTTTTTGGGAGAGGGAGTAACTACCATATCCTATTTGTTACACTGGAATTCATCTGACCAAAGAGTCATGAGTGGAAGTTAGGCTTTGCACCTGGTTTGGTTGCTGAGAATAAAGAAAGGGGAAAAAAATAAAATAGAGAGTTTTGTGATTTTCTCTCATCTTCTTCCAGGCTGACTCTTTCAAACCTTCATTTTATTGTGTAGATTTGCCCTGGATGGTTATTCCTTCACAGGAATGTTCCCAATTCCACATGCAGACCTCCTGTAATGTCTCTCAGCTCATTTGTAGTATTGGTCTGACGTATCTCTGCAAGCTAATCAGTGAGCTGGAAAATATAGTTTTAAGAGAGCTCTTAAAAACTTTCAAGGAGAACGATGCAAGTTATAGTTAATTTTCAGCCACCTTGTGTACCCTTCAAAATATTTAAATAATTGGCTATTCTGATGTACATTTAGCATGCACACATACTTGTTACTTGGGGCACAGAAAGCTGAAAAGCGGTTCCTCTTAGGTTGATGGTTTAAATCAGACATATTGTAATGCTGAAAGAATTCATCATAAAATGCATGGAATAATGTCAGTTAGGTAGAAGTAGCATTTCAGCTCTAAAGCTTTCAGAATAATAACTTATAAATGACCTTCCTATCATCTTAATCACTGTGAATCTAGGATTGTAAGAGCTAGTGATGAAAAAATGATCATCTAATCCAGACAAACATTGCTGTACTTCGTCCGTGTTAGTACATCATGGATGACAAACCTCTACCACACCTTAAAGAGTCCATCTGCAGCCACTCACAGCCCATGTGTCCACGTTCACAGTCCAGCGAGATTACTAAGGCCTTGCTTGTTTCAGCCCACTGGCTCCATCAGATCAGGGCTGCTCTGGGAGGACTTTGGAAGGTCTCGGGGAAGAGCAGGATGAGCAGACAAGGAAGCAAGGAGAAGATACAAGAGGAAGGCTAGGTTATATTCTGTAATCATCCCTTTTTTTTTTTTTTTTTAATTCCCTTCGGGAATGTACCACTCACTTTATTACCTTAAAAACTGCTAGTGTGTAGTTGAAAACAGTTGCTTTTAAGAACAAGGGAACAATCAGAAATGATTTTGTAATTTTGGGGAATATGTGAAGTTCTATGTAATTAAATCCTATTCTTGTTCCCTCTGAAATCAACAGAAGCTTTATTATTGATATGTATATACATTTTCTGTGTGATTCATAGAAGCAAATTTTACCAAAATGCTTACTCAAACACCCTATCTTTCTTTACTATCTGCTTAGAAATACTGTTCTCCATGCTTCTCTTCCACAGCTTGGATCTAACATGGAGAGACATGCAGCATTTGACAGTGCTCACCTCCAAAAGGAACCAGCTTCATGATGAGGTTCATCAGTGGCGTAGAAATGGTGTTGGGCTGGAGTTCAACCATTTGTTTGGCTATGGAGTCCTAGATGCAGGAGCAATGGTTAAGATGGCAAAAGACTGGAAGACTGTTCCTGAGAGATTCCACTGTGTTGGAGGGTCAATACAGGAGCCTGAGTAAGTGAATAGTCTAGTTTATGAATTTTGCTTTTTTTCTGGGCATTTAAGAGACCATAAGGATAAGTAAAAAATAGATGACTAGAGAAAGATACCGAACATTTTTCTCTAAGAAAGATTAATGATAACAATTACATTCCAGATATTAAATAAATAAATAAATAAGCTGCATGATTCCTCGAATCCTGGGTGATATGTAGAGTCATTGCTAATGCCAGTAGTATTTAAAGCAGCACCCATTTTTCCTTATCACTCACAAGTATGTCTGTAGAAAAGCTTGTATGAAAAAAGAACGTGTGCAGAGGTGAAAATCTGGGAGGCCGGCACCTTAAACCAAGTAAATTATTTGGGGCTGCCAAAGGTGACATGTACCTGACTCTTTGTCAAGTAATATCCCTTGTGACCTGTTCCAGCGAACAGTTCATCTCCAGAAGAAGAAAGCAATCACCTACAGGTAACAGCAATTCAGTTTGAATATTGCAGCATTTAATTGTGTTTGGTTTATGTTCTTTACATCTCTAATTGCAGGCTTAAGTAGTCAAATTATTTTCTGATTACCTTCATGTGCTAAACTGAGTGAGTCAACAAATGAATGAATTAATGCTAGTTGACTACAACAGCTATAGTTCAATTTAATTATATGAAATGCTAACCTGATGATGGCCAATTTTTATCTATAATATTCAAAAATTGACTTTTCAGTGCCATTTTTGAAGGCATCATTCTGCTGGAAAAAGATGTGCCATCCTGGCACATAGCTCAGCCAAAGAGCAGGTTTGCTCCCAGTGGGTTTGTATGTATAGGATCCAGCATTCTACAGCTGGGATTTGAGTCTAATTTATCTGGCCCACACATGCTCACAGATAAGGAACAAATGAGAGAGTGCTGAAAATAATTTTGACCTGTCTTTAATTTATTCACAATTTACATGCAGTCTCTGTGAAGACAAACCATCTCATTTACCAGGCTTATTTATTGAAATGGAGATTGCTAGAGGAAAAGGGAGAGTTTCAGTGCGTAGTTTTGGCTGCATCCATTGGGCAGATGTATTTGGAAGCAGACTGAGCAAGAGCGGGATGCGTAGCATGTGACACTCATGTGTCCATCTGCCTTCATTTTTCAATCCTTTCTGCCACTGAAAGGAGTGTTGGGTAACAAAGCAGAAGTCATGGTACTTTCAAAAAACTTGCTTGCCTTTGGTGATGGTGGGGCATTCCCTGCATCCCAGGAATCTTGAACTGCAGGAAGGCTCCTTTATGGCTGTGATTCCCTGAAAAGCTCCAGAGTTCAGAAATGCTCTAACTCTGTTCTGAGAGCAATACACAGAACGGGCTACGTGCTCAGAGCACGTGCATTTGTGAAGAAGAGACTTTTAAAGCATAGACCGCAATGAAGCTTTTTTCATCCGAGTCAGGCACTACATAAGCCTTGGAAAAGCCTAAATCGGCGGCAATAAAGTATTAGTGTACATTATGTGTAGTGCTTCCTCTATAATTATCTGATATAGATATAATATTTATGCCTCCCAATGAAAATATCTCTGTCAGGAGATTAAAGACCTCACAACTTGCAACATCTGTATTTTTTGATTTATAAGTGAAACTGGTTAAGTTCCAGCACCACCTCCAAGAGAATCCTTGAAGATGAAGGCTGACACTGTACTTCTACCATGGATAATTGGTTTATTTTTCCAATTTGGCATTTCTGCAGCAACATTTTATATATTTAGGTAGGTAAGCAGGTGATACAGTGATATAGTGACATGTACCATAGCAACATAGTCAATTAGCAGAAACAGAATGTAAAACCTAGAATGTGTGGTGAGCTGCAAATAATCAATATTTAAAGTGCAGCATTTTTCTGCTGACTGTAGAAACACTTGTTAGCAATAACAACTCTTTGTAAAAAGGGATTTTTGTTGAGACAGGAAAAAGAAAAAAAAATGGACAATGATGATTCTGGCTGGTCCAGGGACATGCAGAGATAATTTAACTCAATCATAGTTCATTAGATGAGGAACAGAGGCACAGGAGTGTACTTCCAAAAAATGGATGGGTCTCCCATCTGATGCATGTTACTGGGTACTAGATTTCATGCAAAAAATGAATATGTATTGGAACAAACTGAACTGGAACAAACAACTTCTCCTGTGCTGTTAGGCCATATTTTCCCCCTTTATTTTAAGTTTTTGTTTCTTTGGGGAAATTCACCTGGGCTGTAGTAACTAGTCTGGTGAAGCAGACAGATGAAGCCTGATCTCCTGTGTCTTAGAGAGATGCTCTGCAGCTCTCACGAAGGTGCAGGGAGCAGCTGGCAGGCTGCCTACAGAATAGGTGCTCTTCTAACGCTACTCTTTCATTATTTCCTTGGGTTTTGGTGTCAACAGATAAAAAAAGACTGGTCCTCTGGGATCCTCTTTCATTTACTGAAGGAGATAGAAAGTGTTTATCACAACTTTTAGAATGAAGTGCTGATTAACAAGGCTTTGTGAGCGGTGTGAAATTGCACTGAGACAATCCAGTTCAGACCTTTTTGAGGACGATGCTAGCAATCCTGCCAGGATTCATTTCCCAGGCATTTAATTATCCAGTTTGCAGGATGGTACCACAGCCCACTAGGAGTCTGTAGAATGAGATGCTAGTTCCCATGCAGAGAAATCTCAGGCTTGAGGCAGCTCGGAGATTGCTGAAGTCTTCATCTCTGCCTGCCTTGTAGTATATTTTCCTTGCACTTTGGGATACTGAATAAATTCTGAGGTTATTATGCTCAAGTGTTCCAATCTTTTAGCTATACAGTGTTTATGTTATGCCAACTTCTGCTCCTAGGCATATATAAGATTCAGAACAACACATTTTGGGTTTTTTTTTGTTTGTTTTGTTTAATATGAGTTTTTCAATACATACATTTGTACATAGTCCTGAGAAGACCGTATTTTATTAGAGGGGAAGCAGAGGGTGGCCTGAGCCAGTTAGCAATGGACTGAACTGTTATGCTTGGAATTTATTTCAGGAAGAAAAGAATTCCTGGAAGTTGAGCTCAAGGGAAATGTTTCACTGCACTCTGGAGAATGCACCCTTTCATTAAGAAAGGGAAATGGTTGGCTTCATGCTTAAAACATTCATTTCTTTTGAAAAGATGTGAGGGCTTAAAAATACCCCTTAAAAGAGGCTGTCACCTCCTCTTGCTCTATAGCAGTAATAGTTAAGGCTGTAGAAATATAAACAAGTAATTACCCTTTAAATTTATAGGTCTTTATTCCTGAGTGAATAATGCTTAAAAAAAAATGACACAGCAAACATTTTATGTCAGTAAGAAGTTCATGTGCAAGAATACAGCGTACATCTGAGTATTGATTACAAACACTGGAGGAACTAATAATAAACAGACTGGAGTTTAGTGTGGCTTGTTTTATCTTTTGAAAGGCATGCAATAGGTCAGAATTTACTGCTTTGCTGTTTGATACTGCTTGAGATCCAGCGTGGTGACCCGGTCTTCCTTTTATGTTTAATCCTTCTGGTGGCAAATGTGAACAGGACCTGTAATAGCTACAAGTGCTTTCACAGGCCAACATGTGTAACAGGTTATAGCTGTTATAGCTCCCACCAAATTACTGCTCCAGAACAGGAAAATTCAGAATTCAGCTGACTTGGTTGTATTCTTTTTTAAGGTGCTGGTGGTGGGGAATCAGCTAATTTTGCAAATAATCTGCCAACGCCAAAGTGCATAATGCTGGGAAGAGTTTCATTGCTTGGGATGCTGATGCATGGAGAAATTCTCCTTTAACTTGAACTTAAACTCCACTGCTCTCCCAAGGGCAGGCTTTTAAATTTCAGCTCTCTGTCATCACTTTGGATGCTCTCCTGTGAGCCTTGCTGACATTCATGGGTTTTCTTTCCAAGTGTCTTTTTCTAGCAATGGAGGCCTTCTATAACAGGGATATTGTTTTTTTTTTTTTTTGACGACAGACCCCTTGCAAATTAAACGTTGCAGGAGTGAGCCTATGTTCTATCAGTGGATTTAGCATTTCTGGTGTTTCTTTTCATTTTTTTCCACCCTCATAGGGACAAATGTCCTTCGGTTAACTGTGAGTTTGCCCTCATTAGAACTTAATTATTCTAATCAAGCCGTTTGTCACTTCAGGGTTTAACACTTCAAGAACTCTGTAAACTATTTTGACTTCTTTTCTGAATACGTGTGTTCCTGTACAGGAAAACTCAAGGACGCTAATTTTAATAGAAAGGAATGAGTTGAAACTGGAATTCAGCATTTGTGTAAAATTTCCAAATCAGAGCAAGAATAACAGATTTGAATACGGCTGCATAGAAATTTTGTGCAGCTGACTCCATAAGTCCAGACACAAGTGTCTGCTTATGCCTTTTGAGGTGACTGTCTGATAGGATTGACTGCTCGTGGTTCTTTTAGTGAATATAAGCATTGTTAAAATATTACTCAATATAGTAAAGATCAGTAAAGGCAGCTATTAATTGTATATTAATATTTCTTAAATAGCAGTTTGCACTTCTTAATTGTATTTCTTCTTTCGTTGCGTAGGTGTCCATTTTGTAATGTATTTTCAATTTAAGGTTTTAGTATTATAAAAACAGAATGTTCTTTTTATAGATATGTTTGCAGTTTTTATTTTCTTAATTTTCCATGTATTAATAGTAATGAATGATATTAAAAGTTAACTAATCATCAAGATTATAATGTTAATGTTAGCCATAGTTTTAGATTAAGACATGTCATGATGCATATCCTTTTAATCTGCTGAATTGTGTTGTGATCTCCAGAAAGATACCATCAAGTGGCAAGCTCATCCTCACCCTCACAACCGATGCTTGTGAGAGGAAAGAAAACTTTGTGCGGTACCTGGAACATGTCCAAGCAGTTATAACTGTGAATTCAACCAGGCGAGGAGACCTCAACATCAACATGACCTCCCCCATGGGAACAACGTCCATTTTACTGAGCCGGCGTCCCAGGGATGATGACTCCAAGGTGGGTTTTGACAAATGGCCTTTCATGACCACACACACTTGGGGAGAAGACCCCAGGGGCACCTGGGCTCTAGAGATTGGGTTTGTGGGCAGCGTCCCGCAGCGGGGCGTGCTCAAGGAGTGGACGCTGATGTTGCATGGGACTCAGAGTGCGCCATATATAGACCAAATAGTAAAGGATTATCAATCCAAACTCGCCATGTCCAAGAAGGAAGAACTGGAAGAAGAATTAGATGAAGCAGTGGAAAGAAGCCTCAAGAGTATACTGAGCAAGAACTAGTGCTGTTCTGCATGATGGTCTCCTTCCTTCCCTGGAGCCTTCTACTCACCTTTCTACTATCCCAACATCCATGTTAGACCTATTACAATGATTGTCTCCGTAGCCAAATTATCACACTTTCTTGATTTTAAAGTCTTAGATCTTGTCAATGGTTATTTTAATTGCCACTGAAGCAATTTTTAATTTTATTCTAAACCACAAATATATTGTCCCCTGCAAATACTATGTACTGTTTGTGACTGTAAATGATTTTACTTTTGTGTCATACAGTTAGGTAATAACTTGCAAACAAATTGATGGCTTTTCTCTTCATTTTTTTGTGGTAAATGTTGTTTGTATTTTAAAAAGAGTGAATTTAACATTGGCAGTTGGTGACAATGGGCCCGTTTTTAAAAATTACTGTGAAAGAGGGAATCAAAAGGAGAGTTCTTTGGTTGTCTAGCAGCTCCTTTTTTATCGCTGACTTCAGTGGGCTTTTCCCCATTGAGTTCAACCAAGATAAGACTAAACCCTAAGAAAGTAATCTACAGGTGAAGAAAATATTTAAATCTAATTTGCAGAAATACATTTGTTTAGAGTTTTCCTTGCTATATACACTTGTACAACATACTAATATTTTAGCCATAGGATGGTTTAATAAGCATTCAGTAAGTAAGGCAAAGTGATGCCAAAGCTGTGTGGTAAAGGGAACTGCATTGCCAGGCATTCTAGAAGCACAAGATTCTTTATAATTTTTTTTTCTTAATTTTGGCAATTTAAATCAATTTACCATCTTACAGCAGAACCAGCACATACGGAATGAGATGTAGGATTTCTGGCAACCTTTGTGCAAAATTACATCTGCTCCTCTCTATACTGAAATATATTACAACAGCTTAAGTCAAGGATGTGGCAGCATTTCCAGTTACATACCCCTGTTTTCTGGGGTTTCATCGGCTCGATAAATTACTGTGGGAGAGAAATGATGTATGTAGTTTCAGTCCAGAAGAAATTTTTATTCAAATTTCATTTTTAAAAATAGAGATTTGTTATTTTTGTGTTAAACAAATATATTTAAGGAGAAAAAGATGCCTAAGTTATTTTATGTATAACGCAAACTGGCTTTCATGGAAAATAAAATGTAGCATGTTTGGGAAAATTTGTCCGTAGTCATTGCTCTTTGCTGTCTAAAGATTGGTCCCACCTTCACTTCTCACACATGAGCAAAGTCAGTCTCTCCCTCCTTGGAGTCTGCTCTGGTTATTACAAGACATCACATTCTCTTCAGCCAGGATTACTCATGGTAGCAAACACTACATGTTCTCAGGTGTGAGATTCCAAATTAAAACCTTTGAGTAATAAATGGTCTTGATCCTGCAAATATTTAGGCACTAACTTAGTGTGAATGCAACCACTGGACCTACTCAAATTCTTATTTTAAGCAAGTGCTTAAGATCTTTGCAGGACCTGAGATCTATTTTTTAGCAGTGACTACTTTCAGAATTTTATTAAGTATTTTTAATACACAGAGTATTCATCTAAGATGCTGTCCTGGTTAATCAGGTTCATAGTAAGAGAAATGCATGCAGTTAGTAAATCTTTCTCTAACAAAAACATAGCCCAAAGGTTATGTGGTGCACACTTTTCACTTAAGAATGTATCCCTTATTCTGTTATTTCTAGCGAATGTCCATCTTTTACAATTTAAGAGGCCTGTTCTAAACTCAAATGCAAAACTGCTCTGTCTACTTGCAGAGCGTGTGCACTGCACAGCAAGGCCGAGGCAGATGGGCTCCCACTGCTCACAGGTATCCATCATGGGGCAGCAGCCCGTTAAGACTTGGTCCCTTACAGACAGTGGAGTCACACTTGGGTGAAACGGGTGTCAGCAGGAGAAGAATCAGGCCCTGCATGATTTTTAAGTTTTAAATGCTCTTGTTGATTTGTTCAAATACATTATAGTGTCAACTGTGTTTAGCTTAGAGTTTTGAAGATTAACCCAAGGACATGATAGGCCCATTTCAGATCACAGATTAGAGTTTACAAGGCATAAACCAAAATTCACTGAAATTAAGTGTGTTGATGGACAGGGTGTTTGTGCCTTTTGTCTGGAACTGAGCAGGTTTGGAAATGGTTCACAGTTCTCAGAAAGAGCTGCATATACATATCAGAGGGAAAAATCTGCCATATATATATTTATGCATACACGTGTGTCTGAATGCATACAACACACCTGTGGTAGCATCTCCCTCTCTCCATATTTATTACATATGATATGTATATTCAGTGAATGTTATGTATATTTGCCTATCAATATAGAGGATTACATGTGGTGTGCAATGCATAATACATATGCACACACATCATTACTTTCTGTGTGTATGTGTTCAGAGAAACAGAGTCAAGTGGAAGCTACAGAAGAATGTCTAAAATGTGGAAAAAAGTTTTGGAATAAGAAAAGTCCATGTGGAAATCTTAAATGAATGTGTACATTAGTTCCCATTGCATTCATGTAATTTTACATTTCTGTTTAATCCTTAAATGTCCTATATAGTAGCAAAATAACTAAATGATTGTTCATATTTTCGTAATGTCAGTATAATGAGTGCTAACAGAATATTTGATATAAGCATATATAAATCTAAGCGTATATACAATATAGAGATATACTTCAAATTCTTCAGGATTTTTGCCTTGGGGTGACACTGAAAAAATATGTCCAGTCAGACTAAGTTTTTAAGGTACTGCTGATGGAAAATAAAGTTCATTTGTTAGCATTTGTAATAAAGGAGGAAATGAAGTTCATGATTTAAAACAGGTGAACATTGTTAAATTAAAGCCCTGTGATGACGTTTTATAATCTAAGTAAAATAAAGAGCTGTTGTAAACTGGCAGGTCCTATAATCATTGCCTAGGGAAGGTTGCGTGGGAGCTAACGTGCTGTGAGTGGGACTGCTTACCAACGCCCAATGCTCAGGACAAGAAGGTCATCGATATTCCTTGTGCTTTGTTGAAATAAATAGAATCCACCAAAACATAAGATATGAAGAGATGAGCAGTTCTGGCTTGTGTGTGAGCTCTGTGGTGAGACAGGATGCAGAATGTTCAGGATGGGCTTGGGAAGGTGAGGACTCACGTTCAGCTACTCACATTCCCCTGCGGTGCTCGTGGAACTGCTGGCTCCAAGGGACCTTCTGCAGAGACTCCCAGCTCAGCTCCCCTCAACGTAGCACTCTTACTCCATGGTAAAGGATACAAGTGATTATTAAATAATAATTGCCTATAATAATTTCCTGACATGCTGGCAGCAGCACATGATGCCAAGAAGTCTCTTTATCCACACCTTATTAACATGGAGGCTAGAATGTGGCTTGCAGTATCCTAAGCGTCTCATCTCAATCTGTCAGATACTAAATAGATGCTCAAAAATATTTCATCATTTTTCTTTAGCATTAGCATTCAGATACATTGGAGAATCTTCATTTAAACCACTGATTAAACCCTAAGTCATGAGGGGTAATGCACCTTTCAGGATTATCATTAGGAACAATGCAACACTACTGCTTTTCTCTATGTATTTTCTATGTAGATTTAGAGAAAGACAAGGACCTCTCAATTACTCGCTGTCTTACGGAGCAATTGCTGTGTTTGTGGAAGGCAGGCTGGCAATTCCAGCAGGATTCAGGCCTTAGTTCTTAAGTCCTTGGTTTTAACCTGTGTTGGTGTCAGTGATGCAACTCAGCACCACCTGGATTCACATCCCCACCTCCACCTTGCTGCCTGTGCAATGCAAGGTGCAAAGTCGGCAGCAGCCTGCGGCACCAGATGTGCTTCAGGAGCTGTTTTATACTGCCCAGCCACCAAACAAGTGTTACCAGCACCAGAAAACTAGTTCTGTCACCCCTGTAGTGGTGACACATGATAGTGCAGAACAGACAAAGGTGACTGAAGATATCCACATATTTGATACCTAACATACGCTCTCCAAAGGTGCTGCCATCTCTCCCTTACCTAAGGATTTTTGTACTCTGAGTGTTAGGATTTGTGCATTGCAATGAAACGAAAGGCTAGAGGTGAATACCCAGTTCTGTTTAGGTACTGCTTGAATCTTTCTACACCCTGTTTCACAGCAGATGTTCTGCTGCTGCAGGTGATTTTCCTATCTGCAGTACAAAGCCTGGCTTTCATTAGCGGTTTTGAGTAGCAGCTCCCAGCTCACCAGCAGGCAGCTATGCAGGCATTGATAAATTCCTTCTCTGCAGTTATTTACACTGTTAATAAATTAAATGAAAATGTGACAAAAACTCTAACAAGTAATGCCTGACATACACTCCCACAGCATTTCAATAAAACAGCAGAGGAAAAAAATTCGGAATAAAAATATGACTGTGTGGGTCACCTGTTGCTGTTTAAAAGCCATTTTAAATGCGCCAGTAAAGCGCCATTTTAACAGATGTTGCATTCACAGTAGGTTAGATACTAAACCTGCATTAGAAACCACAAGTGGAAGCAATATTGAAGGTCAGTGTTGGGCTATGTGACAAGGTGGTCATGGAGCTCAGCCTGGTCAGCTCAAGGGTAATGGAGATTTTCCCCACCCTTCAGAGCTGAAAGGAGTAATCGAGCACAAAGGCAAGTCTTTAGTAATGTGCAAAGCTCACACTAACACACTGAGAATTGTGCTGTGATATGAGAAACACAGAGCCCAACCAAGTATGTACTTCAATGGGATTATTTGTGCCCTTGAGGTCAAGCTGCAGCCAAACAATTTACTGGAGCAAAGCTTTAAATAGTGCTGTACATTTGTACATGAACAAGTAAAGGATTTTGTTTTTTTCTGAGAAAAGGATTTCAGAAAGGTGCAAGAGGATCCAGAGCTTTTTGCTTCCTTGGGTGTGTCTGACATTGGGAGGCCTTGCTTGCTGGAACAACCTCTGTGGGATTCCCTGTGCCAGGACCCTCGGGATATGCCCGGGTCATGTAGCAGTATTAAATACTGTAAAATGCAACAGTTGAAGGACGTAGAAAAAATACCAACCTCACAGTCTTGTGAGCTGTCCGCAACTCACACAAAACTTGCCATTCTTAGATACCTCAGTTAGCAAAATCATACCTTCAATATACCGTTTTGTTCCCTGCTTTATCTTGTCAGTACAAAAACAGGTACAGTAAGAGCATTTTTCAGACATGGATAGTTTCTCTTCACATCCAAAAGGAAAGTCCTGCCAAGCTCACTCTGCTTAGGAGACCATGAATATGAAAGATTTGGAAGAGGTTTGAAACTCACGTCTTCAGCTCCTTCCTGGAAAGACTCATGCAAACCTAGTCAGGTAAATTTTACTAGTAAAGATTCAGTGCTAAAAGCAACACACACACATGGAGGGTATTTTATTTAGAAGGCCAAGCTTTTATTAAATGAACCAGATGTCACAAGTTAATATTTGCAGTTGTCTTGAGAGTTGGGGAAAATCAGGGCAGCTACAGGAGCAGTAGAGTAATAGGCAATGGAAGTGGCAAATTTACCCTTGATACTTTTGTTTAATCAGGCAACTCTGTAATAACTGTAACTTTCAAAGTGTCATAATCATGAAATCAGTTGCCTAGAATGCGCCTATGACTCGTTGCCCTGGAGCGTTCTAATGGTCATTACACCAAAGGTAAACCTACATCAGACAGAACTGCCGTCAAGGTATCAATCTGTTCCATACCAAACAGCAAAAACCTCACTATTTTATTATTCGGTCAGGAAAAAAATGTGTCACTTAGTATGCCAGACAAGTTGCCTACCCAAGGTAGGAGTCACTTAGGAGCCTTTGTCACTTGGCTTCTTCTTGCTTGTCTTCTCTATCGTCGTCTCCACAATCATCGCTGTCTCCTCGTAACTCTGAATTCTGTCATCTGAAAATTTCTCAATGGACTCCACCACTTCAACCTTCTCATAGCTGAGGGAACTGGGCAGACTTGGTTCCCTGAACAGAAGGTCTTGCTTCTCTTCTCTGTCAGCCTCTGCCTCTTGAAGGACTCCTGGCTCTGCTGTACTTATCAGACTAGGGGGAGGGGCAGTCTCAGGCTCACATATGTCTGGATACTTTGGGGCTTGCTCCATTTTTCCTGTTATTTTTTTACCCCATTCAAGCAGTTCTTCCTTCTCTTCTTCTTTCAGTTTTTCTGGGTATGGGAACTCTTCCCGCCTTTCACAGATATCCCCTTTCCCTCTTTCAGATGGCTCGGCAGGTTCTGGCAGCTCTGGTATTGGTGCCACATCACCACTGATCGTTACCTTCCCATTGCTGGTGGAAACAGTGATCCCTGCCCCAGCGGGGATGGAGGAAGGCAAGAAGCAAGGGTCTTTGTAACTCCCTTCCCCTGTTACCAGCACGTAACGCCCTTTGCCATAAGAATCGGGTTTAGGTTCTGGTTTCTTGTAGACTTTTATTTTCTCCCTCACAATGTTACACAATTTATCAAAGGCTTTACTTATCTGAGCTCCATCAGGCATATCCTCTGGGACCTTCTCTTTTTCCACAGATTCAAATTCGTCCCGCCCAGGTTCACATATGATTGTGCTTTCATGCTTAAAATTGAATTGATCTTTCTCAAAACCCTCCAGAATGCCTTCGTGCATTTTTTCAGGTGAGAGACCATCAGTTATATCTTTAGATGTGATCTCCTTTTTCCTGGAAATTTTCTTTGTCAGAGCTTTTTGTCTGGGCTTTGCACTGGCAATATCTTGCATAGCCTGGGTGATATCTACAGAAAATAAAACAAAGCAAACAACAAACAATACTGACACAGCTGCTGAAAAGGGCACCCTCATGGCTGACTAGCTGGACTGAAGGCAACAGCAAGTGTGAGGCTATCTTCCATCTGCACTTCAGAAAGTGTTGTCTTTAGCTTGGGATACTGTGGCCACTTTTGCACCTGTGACAGGCACTTTCCTACACACTTTGAAGACATGGCAACTTTGCATACAAAAAAAGGCAGCTGAATAAAACATTCACCTACCAACACTATCTTAATGTTCAATAGGTACATTTAGAGCTTCAGAGTGCAGCAGGGCTCAGCAATTACTTCTCAGACATCTCAGCAGAGTTTGGTTCCAATAACTAGACAAAGAAACTAGTCTCCCAATACAGATACCAAGGCGCCCAAGCTTAGTGACACCCCAGCAATAGGACTACATAGAAATAGTTTGTCTGCTGAGTTACAGCTCCAGAGGCTGCTTTAGTTGGGAGCAGTGGGGAAGGAAAATCATATTTAAAAGATTTCCCCCCAACACAGGGTTGCTGGGTAGAAGGTCCCCAGGCCTGGCCATAAAGGTGAGGATTGTCACCATCTCGTGTTTTCTGAAGCCTGGCTTTCTGCTGAGCTCCCTGAGCGTGTCACCCACACCTGTGGTATCTCCCACCATGGGGAATGCCAGGAGTCTGGATCCCAGCGGCTGAGCCAGGCACCCCACGTGCGGCACAGCCAGATGCAGGGAGGTGAATCGGGAGGGAGTGGGTGACCCTAGGAGCAGAGAGGTACAAGGCAGCTGCCTAGCCGGCGTGCAGCTCTTCGGAGCTGTATTTCGGCACTGCCTGAGCACTGATGTGCAGCCTTAGGCCCACGTGGAGGGGAAACCTGCAGCTGCTATTTCTGATTTCTTCAGCAGTCACTAACCACAAACCCTGTGCTATTTCAGCAGCAGGAGCACAGGCAGCCTCTTGATTGCCATCGCATGAACAGCTAGAGCAAAGGGAGGCAGAAAAATTGATAGTAGGAATTATTGGAAAACAAGGACAGATACTAAGATGCTTTCCTGAAGGCAACAGCACTTAACCAGTGCCATGAAACAAGCATGCATCAAGCCAGCATACAAAAACAGTTCTTTCTATGGTTTCAGGTGTCCTTCTGACTTTGCTTACTTTTGCAATTTACTATTTAGCCCATCAACAGAGTGAAGCAGTGGCTTTGTTTGTGGTTTTGGCCTTTGTGGCTTGTCCTACAGCGAGCTGAGGTAAGCTGAAATCATCTTGCTTATTTAGCAAACTAAGTCAGACTGTCACGGCTGGTGTTAATAAGGGAGACAAATAAAAATCCAGCTTCAAATATAATAATGTGACTCCTGACAGACACAGAAGAACATATCACAGGTTTACCTCTTCCCCTCGGAGCTTGAGTCTGGACAGGTCTGTAGATCTGCGTGAAGAGTGTGACTGGAGTTCCCACTATGGCAGAATTTAACCTGATGGGGAAGATGCGTGTTCAGTCAGACCTCTACCCCTCACTGCCACCAAGAGCAAGGGAAGTTGCACAGAATAAAGCAGGGAGGTTAAACAAATGCATTCCTCTGTGCTGATGAGCTAGTGGACCATGATGTGAGGTTGCCCCTTGTCCGGGGAAAATAAACATCACAGCTTTTTCCACATCCCCCAACCTTCTGCTGGGGGAAAATATACTTTCCCCCAGCAGAAGACCAGGCATGCCCTGGTACACTGGGCAAATTACAATTAATTAAAAACAACACCAACAGCAAAACGCTATTAGAGCAGCAAGTCTGCCATTTCCCACACAACTGAGCGGGTGCCTGTGCCTTTCCCTTTCCTCAGGCTCCCTCTCCTGTTCCAGGTGGTCTCTGCACTAGCTCCCTCCAGCTCCGTGCTAGGAGCCTGCACAGAGCAGAGTGCCCAAGGGAAAACTTAACACCCTCTTTATGAAAGAATACCACTGATGTGCCAGAGGAGAAGGTGGTGAAAAAAAAGATACAGTTCATTTTCCTTTTTCAGTGTTTCAAGAGTGTATCCTGTTGACAAGGGGGGAAAAGAAAATCTTACCAAGTCCCTAAATTCTGCAAAATGAGAATAAAGACTTGAAATGCCAATGAAAAGCTAATCATCTTGTGATGATTTCCTCTTTGACAAGGGAATCACAAATAAAAATGTGAGATCCTGTGTTTTTTTGAGCCTGCCAGTGAATGGGAGAGCTCTTGGCTTCGGTTCACATGGGTCGCATGCAGCAGCACCCAGCCCAGCACTGTGAAAGGACACAAGGGTGCAGCTGCCAAGCCTCTAAGCTCATTGATTATCATCATGATCTCTTCATGGTTTCTTTGAAGAGAAATGGCTGAGTGCCTAGGAAGAAATACACTATCCTTTGCCCTCGCATCCACTTTCCAACATAGGTGAAAAATCTACAGCACAAGACCGTTTTCTCCAAGGAAAAAAAAAAAAGAGATCTAGATTCTCCCATGGTCAAGGTTCTTAGAGTTATCTGTTTTCTCCGAGACATCTTAAATGGATTTGATTTTTTCAAAGAATGAAGGACTGTCACATCAATCATGAACATCCCAATTGCTTTGGAGGTGTCACTGTGTGTATTCCCCACATCCCATTGTCACTTCACAAGCTCTAGCCAATAAAATATGACATTTGGGCGCATTTACAATACTTCCTGCAGAGGAAGCATTGAAAACATGCATGAAGCATTGAAAAAAGCATGAAGGTATGAAAACTGGCCAGTCTCCCTTGGAAAATATTTGTGGCATCAGTGGTATTAACAGTAAAATGAGATCCTGGCCTCTATGTAAAACACAGGTACAATTCCCATGGCTTCTCCAGTTTGCTCTATGAAATCCAGAAATTGAAAGATTTTTTTTTTCCTCTGGAAGGAGGATATACAAACATTTTGTAGACCCACATCTAGATCCGTGTATGTTAACCCAGAACAGATGTGCATGTTTTCACCTTAAGTGCAGCGAATTGCCTCGATCAGATATTCCTAATTAGAAAGCTCAGTGTCCAAAACCAGATGCCAGAAGTTAGATGAAACAATCTATTTCCCAGCATTAATCTTCCTATGTAAAATACCACACTGTCTATTAATGAGTGTCTTTCTTCTGCATCTTCTGGACCACCCAGAGCTGCATTTTTGGCCCTTCAGGGGTCTGACTCTCCTGCATTTGTCTGCCCAAGCTGTTCTGCACACAGCTGTGAAAGGCCCTCCCGGTTCCTCTTGCAATGCTAACAGCTGACATGAGAGGGTGCTGGTTTCCCTTTGGTAAACTGTGTCTCATCTACACACAAATTTCCTGGAAATCTGTTCTGTGCTTTCCCTCTGCTTGTCTAAAGAGTGAGATTGTGATGAAGAATGCTTAGCTATTACAGAACTGCTGCCATATGTGAGCCCCGCAGGACAAGCCTCCCTCAGATGTGCCCTCAAGAGGCACTAATACTTGTGCAACCAGCTGCAGCTGCATGTGCTGAGCTGCATGTTGGCTTGAGAGATGCAGCAGCTACGTGTGAGCACTGTGATGCTGCAGCTTCCTAGCCATGAAGACACTCAATTTGCTCTCGTTTGTACCTGACCTTCATGCACTGAAGTGGGGAGAGTAAATAAAAAGACCATGGAAAGGAGAAGCACAAAGTGTCCCTCAGCCTTTGCTTGGCAATGACTTGAATGGATTTTGACTCCATTTCAGTGTTTTCCATTGGGAAACTAGTGGTGGGTTGAAATGTCCATAACCATAGATGGGTTGAATACAGAGATCTGGCCTTACCTGCTGTCCTCTGTCTCAATGATGCGTTTGTACCGTTCCAACTCATTCTCCAGGGACTGCTGGTAGACTGCCAGCTGCCGACAGTCAGTTGTGTACTTCTCCAAGATCCTCTCAGCATCTTCTATCCCCTTCCTAAGATTTTCAATCTGCTCATTGTAGAGCTGAATTTCATCATCATAACTCTCCTGGGTGTTTTTTATCACTTGCTCCAGCATGGCTGTCTGGTAAAGAAAGTTGGTGGGTAAAAGAGAGTCTGAAACTATTTTGTGTTCCTATTTCATACCTAGCCTAGAACCATTGTGAAATGCATGACAGATTATATCAAGATGCTAAAGCAAGAAGGGCATTCAGCTTACGAGGCAGCAGGTTGCTACAATACATATGATCATCTTTCTCAGGGATGCAGAGAACTGTGCTCAAATAACTCGTCTTCTCAGTTTCATGGCATTTGACTAGTTATTCACAATCCATAAAAACAAACAAACAAGAAACCCTACTTATTCCAAGGTTCTTCTTCCACAATAAAGAGTACAGGACCATCATGAACCAAAAATCATGCTGGGAGGCAAAAAAGCAGCTGTGATGTCTCCTCTGTGCAGCAGGGAGCTCGCTGGTGTCACATCATGCAGCAGCCAGAGCGCTGCATGTGGGGTCTTACCTGGCAAAAGAGCAGCCTCCCTCCTGGAAGCATGGAGCAAATGTTTAACCACGAAGATGTACACGGGCAAAACCAGTTCTTCCTTAACTGTGGTCTGCAGACCAAGCACTGAGAGCTAAGGGTTTTTTTTTTTTAATAAATAAAAAGTTTCCCTTGTGAAGTTAATTCCTTGCCTTTTTGAGTGTAGCAATAAGAAAAAAAGAAACTTCTGGGCAGCAAGGCCTAAACACCAGACATTAGACTGTAGATTAACCAGGAGGTGGCAGTGAAAGCAATGGAAAGAACTTGTGCCTGTAAATCTGCTCTCATTTTCTTCTGCTATTCTTTTTTGCTATTTATTATAGTTTCTTTATCATTTGGGACTCGTTTTCCCCTTTCAGACAGCTTTTAAAGAAAAGTACTCACGAAAAGCTAATGGGGCAATAAATAGCTAATGGATTCTTTAATAATTGATTTATTTCTATATGTTACAGCCAAGCGTTTCAAAAACCTTTTAAGAGCTTAAATCTAGGAGACTAAGTCCCTTGCCATTAATTTGGTAATATTCCAGTTTAAAGTGTGTCCACACCTTCCTAACATGTTGTGGTCAAAAGGTAGATCCCAAGGTCTACCAAGGGGTAGACCCTTTGCAAAGGTGGTTCTCATGCCCAGAAGCAGGAGAAAAAAGGCCCTAGGATGTGCCTCAATCTTCAGTGACAGAAGGAAGTAATTGGCTTGTGAAGTTATTCCTCTCTTGTAATCTCAATGCATTATAATAAATCAATTAAAATCAATTAAATAAATGGAACCTTAAGATTCACTTTTGAAATTAGCATGATTAATTCCCCAAATAGTGCCTTTCAAAAGTTGATTTTCCTCCCCTGTATAGATGTACGCTGTATAGATTGTTGTTCTTCCCTGGGTTCACACATACTTTTCACCAAATCATCAGACATGAAAAAGAAACAAGAGGAAAAGACGGAGAGGAAGCACCATCCCAATGTACCCTCCCTGGAAAAGTTACCCTCAGGAAGTCAGATCTCCTGATATGGCTGTCGGGAGGGGTCTAGAATCTCCTCAGGGTCTTTCATGACTGTTTACCCTCCCCTAATAGACGGGAAAGCTGATGGTACGAAGGTGGCTGCACTTGCAGAGCCTAAGGATTCTCCATCCCATCTCCTGAAAAAAAATTCACCGCACAGAGGTAGTTCCGACATCCTCCATTGCGGAGAATTTCCTATCCTTATAGCCCCTGGCTACTTCTCTGTGTCTCTCCCTGCCTCTCTTCTCGCCCGCATCACACTCTCATTTGTGTTTGCCAAGACCTCAGTATAGGCTACACAAGTTGAGTTTATGGGAGTCATAGTTAAGAGTTTATGGCTAATTGTGATGGTACCTCTGTCTGCAGCTTGTATTTCTGAGTCTGTAATTGGCAAAGAATGGTCTTGTACTCCTCCAGCTGACTCTGCAGAATGGGGATTCTCCTCTCGGCTATTAGCTTTTCCTGATTGAGAAAAAACAACGTGTATGGCAGAAAAAAAGTATGTATGATGCATTCTTTAAAAGTATCTAAAGAAGTTCTACTGCAGGAAATAAACCAAAAGACAGAATCATGAAAACCCTTGTTGCACAACTTTAAGAATTAAAAATATCAGAAGGCAGCACTGTACAAGTGCAACATGCTGAAAATAGATCCTATAGCAACAACTATTCATATCATTTTCAAACAAATAAATATTCTTGGCATGCCTACTTACATTGGTGAGAAGCTGCCAACTCATCATCCAGGCTGTACCAATTTATCTGACTTTCAAATTTTCACCACATCTTGTTCCCTCAGGACAAAGTCTCCTTTAACTAAACTTCTTCGTATTTCCTCCCACCTCCTCCTCAAATAGGAAGCATAACTACCTCAGCTACTTTTGATCTAGATATTTTAATCATGTGTAATATACTCTGTAATGCACTTGACGGAAGGCTGTTTTTCTTCTCCTGATCATTTTAGTTTTCTAAAGCTACAATTAATTTTTCTCTAGGGATCACTTAGCATTCAATATTTACAGTTGCAATTCTCTTCTTGTCTTGGAGCGGGAGTTAGCTAGAGGATCTGAGATACTTTAGGAATAAACCTTGACTCTTTCTTAATTGATGTGAACTGTGCAGCATGTATTTACAGACTGGAAATCTTACTTCAGTTATGCCAGCAGTTATAGGGGACACACGAGGGGTCGTCTGGATAATCTGCTGTAAAATATTGACGTAGGTCTGAATTTCCATAAGATTCTGTTGTGAAATAAAAATAATTTACATTAGAAATTGCTATAACAAGTAATCCTTTTTAATGTTCTACATATCAGGGGCTAATTTCTTGCTATTTATTTCTTTCGACATATATAATTTTAGGTCAGGTTCAGACATGGACTTTTGCACGCAGTCCTAGGCCTGAATTCATCTGTACGTTGTGCTAACATTTTAGTCATGCTGAGAGGATACTACAGATGTTTGCCTAAAAGACAACATGCTTCACATCCTTTAAAGATTATGTGATTTGTGGTTTTACAAGAGATTTTCGAAATGATGACCACAAATACCTACACAAGCAGCTCAGAAAAATAACTTTTATCACTGTGACTATGCTCAGCAAAACCAAGAGCTGTCTCTCCATTCCTTCCTGTAGCCACAAGCAGCAAGAAGATGGAGCACAGTTTGTTCCATGGTTTGCCACAGAAACCAAATGAATGAAAGTCTTTTCTTCCAAGAGCGGCAAAGATCAAATATCAGCCTGATATGAAACCCCACAACTCTCTGGGAGGGAGAAGGAAGGAGGTGCTTTTATTAATTAGAAGTTGGCTACATCTCACCCTTGTAGCCACAGACTTATTACTGGAATGTCCCTGTCCAGAAAACGGGACATTAGGAAAGCAACGGCTGCTTAGCATGCCATAACAAGACAGTTCAACCAACACAGTGGGTTGTATCATGGTAATAGGCCAACAGAATCATAACACTGCTGCAGCCATAGACACTGGACCCTGAGTCAGTCTGGACACCTGCAACCAGCTACCAGCTGGGCTCAAATCCCAGCTGCTGTGCCCAGTGAAATTATATAACACTATATTTACCCACCAGAACACATACCTGACGTACTTTTATTGGCCACTATAACAGATCATGAATAAGGACAAAGCTTTACATCTCTCTCTAGAAAGACATAAAGATGGCATAGTCACCCACTTACCTTCTTGTATCTATCCTTTGTAGCATTAATGTCATCTTGCAGGAACTGGGATTCAATCTGTAGTTCCAGGTTGCACAGCAAAGCTTCATCGGCTTCCTGCAATGCAGATATATGGGACATGTTCAGCACTTAGGCCAGATAGCCAAGAACACCACTTACACATGGTTTGTTTTACACGTGTGCAACCTGCATAGAGTACTAAAGACTCCTGGAAGAAAAAAGCACTATGAAATCAACTAAAAACAGAAACTTTATACACTGTGTTCTCCCATTTTAAACACTTTTTTTTTTCTGCCCAGATATAATTTATGATGTAGTTCAGTAATGGCACTATCAAAATATGTTTACCGTATGATTTACGAGTGCTGGGAGCCAAGTAACAGACACTGCGCAATGCCAGCTTTTCAGGCTGAAGTTTGCAGTGGTGTTCTGAATTTGGAACATATGACATTAATGAAATCTTGCATTAATTTCTCCAGTTTGTGGTAGAAGTGGATGTATCTTGACAGCTTTTTAACATGCAAAATAATAATTGATAAAAACCTAAACTGGTCCCTTCAGTATCTTTATAGCCTTTCACAGAAGCTTAGGGATTACAGCATCTCTCACATGAGGAAAGGCTGACACATCTGTGTCAAGCCCATAACCTAAAACAAAGGCAGAAACAAAAACCCCTGGGATAAGAAGGAGAGACCTCCGCCAGCACCACCCTTGACATCTTGATGTTGTTTCTGAGAACATGATATGAAAATAAACAAACAAACAAAAAGATTTAAAGATGTCTCTTCAAAATACTGTAAATATGTCCCAGTGAATGGACCACGGTTTGCAAATTGAACACTAAAATACATGGACGCAGCAGATGACTGATAGGAAAGGATTTTTCTTCTTTCACATGCACACCAGGCACTATTGAAAAATGTGAAACTGTTTGCTGTTTTCATTATGCTGTTGAGTCCCTTAGCCCCGCTTGCTGACACGCCATGAAGCCATTCATGGGCTCACTCTGCTCTGAAGCCAGCAACTGCATTGTGAGCAAAGCAGCTAACTCAGCCAGACCAGGACCAGAAAATTCAGAGACAGTCATCAGGAATGCATGTTGCTTTGCTGCAGTACATTGGCACCCTATTCAGAGAAAGATCAGCACGACAATGACAGTTATGTGCTTTGGGGGGGGAGTCTGCAAGCCCCTAGATGTTAGCAATAAGCAATTCTTTCTGCATATACCAGCATTCATTTTTCCAGATGTTTCTCCAAAGGCAAAAAAAACTTCTCCCTTTTTCTCTGCTTTAAATAAATCAGCTTCATTAATGATGCTCTGTACCAAAACATTTCCATGCTTATACTTTTTCTTCTTTATTTTACAGTATTTGCTATTAACTTGGGGAAAAAAAAGAATCTGCCTTAGATGATGATTCCAAAATGTTGATCTATGTGATTAAGCGGCATTTGCTAGCATTTACCATGGGAGAGAAAACTCTTAGACCTGTGCATAACCATTGCTTTCTGATTTTCTTGATTGATTTCCCCCCACCAGCTGAAAAGGCTTGAGTTTCTATTCACACATGCATATTTCAGTCACATCTTAGACATTCTGCAGGAAATTAGCTGTGTTCTGTCCTTCTGCTGAAAGTCTCTTTATCTATGACTTGAACTCTACACACTAGATATGGGATTTGAGCACACACTGATGGATGGAAAATATGAAGTATGAAAGTTAATGTGTCAACTCCAGGTACTTTACCTTCCATCTCTAAGAAGATATTTTTACCAATCCATCTTTTAAAGCAGAAACTTAGCCAGTTGTCATGCCTTATTGCCGACGTGCAGCAAGACACAAACTATTTGTACAATGGTTTCCTTACTATAAACTACTCTATACTGCAAGAATGATAAACACAGGCAGGCAACACCCGGTGTACTAAGACCCATTTTCTTTCCCGCAATAAAGCAGCACATTATGGTTGATGGATGGTAAGTTTTATGCTTAAGCTACATCTGGAGGTGTGAACCTGCCCTGAACAAAATGTTGGTGCAAACATCTGTGGGAACACTGGAACAGGCTGCCCATAGAGGCTGTGCAGTCTCCTCTGGAGATCTTCAAAACCCGCTTGGACGCAGTCCTGTGCCACGTGCTCTAGGTGACGCTGCATGTGCAGCAGGGTTGGACTAGATGACCTCTAGAGGTCCCTTCCAAATTTAAGCATTCTATGAAATCCCACGACTCACGTTCCTCCTCACTGAGCTTGGTCCTGCATATCAGCCCAGCATGGGCAATGACCCAGAATCAGTCACCCCACTGTACTGAGATACCGAAAGTGGTAGTTTGGTCTCATGAGAGCTCAAGCAGGCAGTCTAGGCTCAGCCTTGGATAAACCACCAGCAGCTCAGGATCTAGCTGTGCCTGGTCAAATGAATCCTCCTTTCTTTAGCTGCCAATTGACTGAAGGGAGGGATGAAAATTGGCCCACCAGCTCCAACTATTCCAGGATTTATATCCAGGTGATCTTGCCTCAAAAATATTTTTAAAAGTTGCAGGATATCCAAGAAACCCACTTCCATGCTGGCCAATGATGCAGGATCCCTAGAGCTCACTGAAGAAGGAAACACAATAATACACTTTATAAATATACATAATATATATAGGTATATATACAAGTACAAATCTCTGAAAAGAAACCTTTGTTCAGGCAGAACAGATCCTGCCATTTGTACAGAGGAAAAAAAAAATCTCTATTTAATCCACCAGCAATTGTCTTCCAACTCCAAAGATGAAAGGTAAACTGTAGAAAATTGAAATGATAAAAGACATAATACAATTTTTTTCTCTGAGATAAAAGCTAACAGCAAATAAAGATGAACCAGGTTTTCTCATTTTCAGAGACCTTATCTGGAAGCTTTCCTTTAAGCCTTTTTATTATTTATTTTTCTCCCTACAGGACTAGTTCAGTAAAGGGCAACTCCTCAAAATCTCTGTCCACCTTTTCATTGAGCTGAGAGCAAATCAGAGGGTGTTACAGCTCTTTTTTGTTTGGAAACCTGATTAGAAACTGAGGATTAATGCTATGCAGGGCTGACCACATGCAGTAAGGGACTGAGGAACTTTGAGAAGCATGGGACTTCAAGATTTTTGACATGACCAGCAACTGTCACCATACTGATTCTACACTAAGAAAAAAGAATTATATATATAAAAGCTATTTTTATATAAAAAGCTATTTATATATAAAGAATTACATGCAAAAAGTTATTTAGTGCCCTAACATGTTTTCTCTACCCACATTTCAGACTGTTGTATATGTGTATATGGTGTACAGTGTTAGTAGGACTAAGTTCTCTAAATTGTCTCCTTCTATCTTAATGTGTAGACTCAAACTCATGCACAGAGGAGTTGTCTTCTGAGTAAGAAAAGAGTTATTAAAGGAACCTAAATATGTTCCAGATCTTCAGCAAGAGTCAACTGGCAAATTTCACACTGAGGCAGTGATACTGATATTTCAACTCCAAGTCCCCAAATCAAAGCTGGAGACATTTGGTACCAACCTAAAGTTTGTAATAACCTAAAGCTGTCTTACGAAATACATCATACTGCTCCCTAGCCTTGAAAAATACATGAAGTCCTAAGCAGGGCTAAGGGTGTGAGCTGTGGACACCAGAGATCAGTGGCTCAATGCTCTCTTGCAAACCTCTCCCAGACAGCAAGAGCTTCATGTCTCAAAGGTGGCTGGTTGTAAAAACCTTTATGAAAACAGTGCATATTTCTCTGTGAGCCAGGCAGTGCAAGCAGGCATTGTTCCCACTGTGATACTTCACCTGGATCTCTTCAAGACACTATCCAAAGACGCAGAGGCTTAGCTGGCATCTGGAGAACAAAATTAAGCAGACTGTTGGCATGAAGAGATTCTAGGAATGGGCTGGATTCTTAGGGCAAAGACTAATAATTTTGTGCTTTATGGAACAAAAACACAGATTCAGGGTATGGTAACCAGCTGGAATCCTTCAACGGTTTCCAGTTCCAATATCACAGGAACTCCTTCTTGGGCAGAGGAGGAGAGTCTTGTCATGATGGTTTGCAATGGGTTTAGAAGTCACCAGTAAATAAGGCATTGCTTAAAGAAGCCCAAAGGGTTTATCAGCTGATAGGAAAGAAATTTTAAATCCATACTCTTCATCTGCTATTCATCTTAAGTTTGTCTTTTCCTTATAGCAGCTTACTAAAACCAAAGAAGTCCCACTATAAAGAATTGCTGCACTCTTCTGATGACCTCAGCAGCACTTCTGTAAAACAGAATTTTCCTCTTGGTAGTATCATCATCACACCTTATTAAACTAAATATATCTGGGTGCTTGATAATTAGATATTAATGCAGTCAATATTTAATGTGGATACAGTAAAGGTGGGGTGGAATAATCTTTCATGACTCCTGGGGTGTTTTTGGAGGATTGGAGGAGATAGAGGGAAGAATTCAAAAATGCTTGTCTAAAAAGTGAGACATATTCCCAAAATATCTTGAAGAAAAAATGATGGAGACATTTTTCTTTTTCATTTCCCAGACTCACCTTATTAAGACGTTGAAGGGTTTCTTTTAGCCTCTGCTGATACTCACATTCATTTTTGTACCTGCAAGTAGGACAAAGAAGATAAAGTTGACTGCCTTATCCTCCTGCAAACTATATTTTCATCTCTAATATCATGCACAATATATGCACCACACTTAGGCAGAATATGAATCTTGAAATGGCCCAAAATATTTACTTATGCAATACTTCCATGCTTTTTTGGTCCCAGATTTTAAGTGCAGTTCCAGAACTGACTAGTTTCTTCTGGTTATATATCAAAAAGAATGCCATATTTTTGCTATATTTTTTACCATAAATTATTTACAATAAAAATGCACTGGTTTAATACTGGAGGACTGTCATTGCCATTCCTCAGTGGTTACTATGTTGTTATTTGCTACATTGGCACATCAGCAAGTAATTACTTTGCACTTGGTTTTCTAGCATTCCTGTTATTGTTCAATAACCATTTTAATGGCAGAGACATTAAATATAGAAGCAGCAATTTCACATATTGATTGTATATGAATAATGATATATTAGGCTATTCTGATGGATGAAGTTTTGTGCCCTCTTTTATATCAAATCACATTTTAGTTTGGTTAAAATCATGTGCAAGTCTTAGCAAAGAGTGTATTTAACTAAATCTTCTTATGCATTCATAAAATGTTCATAAGGAGTGTGCAATGTACAAATTTCTATATTGAGTGAATAATGAATGTACCCTGTGTTTCTCGCTGAAATGAAGAACCATGGCACATAGTTTTTAAGAGTCTTGGCTCTGCATTTACATGTTAGTTAGAATTATCTTCTTCCTTTTAGGAATCCTTTTAGGGAAAGGCCAAAAAACTTTCAAGCTGATGTCTTCTAATTTCTTTAATTATTACCACAAAATAAGTTTGTTCTTGTCTATCTTCTGAAGCCACTGATGAAGACCAGACATTCTAGTGGCTTGTGAGGAACTTGCTCCAGTCAATACTCAGCTCTTCTAATTCACTGAGTAAACAGATCAAGGAGCAAACTGAAGTAGTCATGTTACCCTCTTTTTTTTCTTTTTTTTTTTCTTATTAGTATTATAGCCTGAAGAATGAACAACTGTTATTTCCATATCTTTCAACATAGTCAGGAAAGTTGAAAAGATCTAGTGCTCATCATCTACTACTCCAATTTAGATAAAATATTCTGATGGCCAAGTCACTCTTGTATTTAAGATTGTCTTGTGAAATAACTTTGACATATCTGTTTGCACTGTCTCCATTTATAGATGTGTGAATCAGTGGTTTTCAGACAACTTGCCTCTTGCATGTACCTTGATTGTTTGGAATTCTTCAACTGAAAATGATCTTAGGCTTCTTACATCTTTTGTACAAACTGGTGTAACACGGGGTTTGCTTCCAAGGTGTGCAACTAAGGATATTCAGCTTATAAAGTGAGATTCCATATGTAGCTGTGATTTATCAAGGAGTGATGTCCAACAAATTTTTGATGTTAAAGATTTTTTTGCATGCCATTCACAGCAAGTAATTTATTAACATTGATGCATTCTGGCCACCAGGCAAGAATGAAGCAGTTTGTGGAAGGTCTCGAAATCAAACACATAGCTAGAGTAAATGATTGGGTTTACCATCCTAGGAAGATACAACCACCCAATACAGTCAGGATCTAAATCTCAGCTGTAATGTCATTCAGTCCTGCTGACA